GTTATCTGTGACACCTGATGCGGTACAACGTATACCAATTATAAATTATAAAATATAAACACCTTCAATAGAATGAAATAATAACGGCATCTATGCGGATTAACACCGACATCCTGCAATTTCTGCGTTCGTAAAAACTCAATTGATAGTAGATTGGTTCTGCCAAGCTAGTTTTATTCGTCGCTGCATCGAGATAAATGATAATATGAATAACCTACGCAACACAAGTTAGAGGTCCTCATTCCTCATTGATCATTGTTATAAATATTTCGTGTCATCCATCCAGATTCCGATGATTATCTGTACTGAACTAATTCCCATAAGGTTTTGTTCGAGAAAGAGAGACAATTAATTCTCGAACATATAACACGACTATAAGTAAGTAGGAAGATAAGTTGATGAAAGTTTAATTCTATACAGTTTCAATTTTATTCTGCAACATTCAGGTCATTTCTATACCACAGAATAAAACATCCAATACATCAGTAACACAGAGTGTCTAGAAACTTCCCTGCAAAACGGAAACCTTATAAAATATTAGTAATATTACTTTTCCATTAACACCATAAGGTTCTTATTGGGGGCGAGTCAACGGATAGAATAAGTTTGTGCCCCCTGCCCTGGTATTTGTTCCATCAGGAAAAACACGTGATATACAGTGTGTGCGATTTCAACTCGAAATACCCTCCTAATTTGGACCCGTTGACCGGTATCCCAAAACAAAGATTCCATAATATAGTATAGGTACTCAACTCAACGATTGTGTCCCATATTCGATCGTCACCATTGGGATCCCAGTAACTATGAGAGATAAAGAGTCGGTTGAATTACGAAAGTTAGCTAGCTTAGCAGCTAATTCAATCTTGATTCAGAATCCGTTAAGAAATCTAGACTAGCTTCAGTCATTTTTGAGTTATTCAAGAAAGAATGAAATTTTGTATTTTTGTTCTTCTTAGATATGAAGTTGCATTATTTCGAGATCTACAGGCAGGTATGTCTCTAGGTCAATCAAAAATCAATAAAACTGAAGTTGACGGTCACCATTTTGATAACTCAAGAAAACCGTTCATCAAACTCTTCGCCAAAAATATACTTTGAAAATGGTCCCGACTGACAAACAGCTGTCGAATATAAAACAAATAAAATGACTACATATTTACTGCAAGGAGATATACTGATGCATGATGTTATCATGATAATAAAGCAATTTTGGCGAAATGGAAACAAAATTTGAGAGACTTTATGAAAATGTATATAGTATGGAGAATATTTCCTCGAATTATAGTTACTATTGTTCATTTCTTCAGGAAAAAAGATATGGATCGTAATAAGAACATTTTCAGCTCCAATTTCATCAATTTTCGAATGACCTAGAGACTCCCTATATAATATGTACAAGTTGCAACGATTAAACTTCGTATCTGAGTATTCGGTGTGTATCTCCATTGAATGACTATACTTCACAAGTTATATCAATATCAACCCCATGCACGTAGATTTTGATACAGGGTGAATTGGAAAATCAGAAATATTAATATTTCACATTGAATAACTAACACTTTTTATGAGGGATTCCGGTAAAATTTAGTATTGGGATATTTCAGCTATGCTTGAATCGAATAGGCTCTCCATACTTTTTCGAAAAAAAAATGTCTAATAGTCGTTCTTGAAATTTTGACACCTTCAACAAACAATAGTAGGCCTTGAGAATCTGATATTTCCGATTTTCGAAGAGAGCTCGATGAGTAGGTTTGTTTTGGAAACGGTTAAAAATTAAGATGGTGTAGCGAGATGAAATTGCGCACACTGTATATACGTGTTTTTGCTGATGGAACGAAGACCACCTAGGTGCCTATCAAGAAAGTAATGAAACCAATCATGAATATCCCACAATATTAAATAACCTGAGAAAATGCGTTCGAAACTCGTGTTATTGTTATGGGGCAAGGGTAATGCTGTTGTTAACATTTTGATTGCGGTCATTTTACACCGTAACTCTTCAGTATCGCCTGCAAGAAGTATCTTTTTTTCATCATTATTGCCAGCTAGCTTAATGTTGAATAATTATTGTTGTTCCTACTTCATCATTCCTGCTGACTACTTATATATCAATAATAATATCATTGCATATCCGTTATATACTCATTTTACACTATTATGCTATTCAATATCAATCGATTCACTCACTCATTCTCACACATAATGTACCGAATCCAATGGTAATTATTCACAATCATAAAACTTCATTTCCTTGAGATAACGTGTGTTGCATCAATTGTATAACTTTCTTCATACCTACATCAGTTATATATTATGTTTCGAATTGATTTTATATATACAGTTATGATAATATAATTTATTGTACCAACGCTTGAGAAAGTGTCCTTTTGAGAATAAAATAGGTGTCTATCCATTTTTAACTGAATTATTTGTTGAACAAAATCAACATTTGGAATGTTGAGAGTAGTCAAGGACGCCGGCAGCAGAGAAGGAAAAACATCGAAAAATGTTGGGAATTTGTTCAATTAAGTTATACTGTTCTAGGTTGCTGATGTCCAACAAGCATATTTTTGCACTAAATCCAACATTGAATATTTTCGCAAAAATTCCACATGTATCTTCCTTCATTTTGATGATAAATCCATTGGGTATATTACCGCTGATCTATAATATTCATGGTGACATCTAGTTAAACAGGGAGACAACCTCTACAAAATATTGAAAAATTCTCTATGCGTCCAACTTGATGAAAAATTTATGGGATATTACTCGAAATGGTTCTGCAATTTTCCCTGATCTTTTCAAGATTAAAAAAAATAATTGAAAAATGTGAAATTTCGTCTATCTGACGAGAAATATCTTTCAGCGCTATTTTCAGAGATATATATACTATTATATTATATACTGAGTGTTTTGCGAAAATAATGAATAGACATTATTATACAGAGAGACTGATGAGCACACAAAACATTGTACACCAGGAGTTAAATTGTTGTGCAATATTGCTGGCTTGGCAGCACACTTGTTGCATTGAGTCACCTGTTAGGAATAAATTGGTATATCGTCTGCATATAATATTTTTGTGCCCGCTATACACGAGGCCATATCATTGATAAAAACTATAAAAAGTATCGAAGCAAGGATAGATCCCTGAGGTACCCCTATATTTATAATATGTACATCCGATTTGTGTTCATTAAAAACTATAATTTGTTTTCTGTCCTTCAGATATGAGGCGATCCATGCATTTGCTACTCCCCGAATACCGATACGATATAGTTTTTCCAGGAGAAGATGATCAACCGTATCGAACGCCCTACTTAGGTTAGGTTAGGTTTGGGAAGTTATAACAAACCTACGAGAACAATACTGAAGACACAGAATCTAAGATACCATCTCATTCTTTTTTTTTCTCATATAAAGTTATATTTTCTACCGTGACCTAAAAAAGTTGAAGATATCAGAAAAAAATTAAAAATTGTTACTGGCTGAAGGACCTCGGTCGATGGCCATTTGGTTTAACCAATAAAGAAATGCATTATTATTATTATTATTCGCTGAAATAATTCACATACATTGGACCTAATTTGAACGTCTCATTCATATCTACCAGATCTGGCCTTGGCATTCAGCATCAAAGATAATATCGATTTCACTGTAAGATGTAGGTAAGCCACTCTCATTCAAAAAAAGGCAATTGCTATTGCAAATGAATCATGAGACTCATTCGACATTCTTGCATATTATGAACAATAAGACTAAAAATGCATGGCATGGCCTACTAGCATGAATAATCAGATATGAGATGAAGATTTTATGTTTGTTCTTCACATAGAATTACACATATCACCACGTAGCGTTAAATTACTCCCGCGAAACGTGAGACCACGTTCTTCAGATTAACGATTGATGCGGATTTCATTACAAGTCGAAAATTTAGATAGCTGGGAACTTCATAGAACAACAATATACACTCACCGGCAATAAAAACCGGCCACCAAAAAATTTGCCCAAATTGTTCTCCCTGTAACTTTTTTAATCCTTGTCCGATTTTCATTTAGATAATCGTATACTCATGTAACTGAATGTTAGCCTAAATATTAGTTTCCGTGAAAGGCTAATGACTTGATCATTATACAGGGAAAAACCAAAGTTACTATTTCACCCTTTACTACATAACGACCTATGGCAAAACTGAGATACACCGAATTCAGGCGGAAACAAAAACCAATCCGACCATAATTATAAATAATAATTTATTTCAAATAATCGTGTTGGAGATATCAACAAAAGTTAGAGGTCAAGAGATACAATATTTCACCAAGGTATTTGTAGCAATTATTCAAAATATTCTGTACTGAACATTACAGCCTATTTTTGAATTCTTGACGAACTTTTTGAAACTTGCACCCATCAATTTGCCTACATTTTAAAAAAGTTCTTAGAATAAGGGCGGAGTTTTAGTAACAATTGTTTCCACGTGAACCCACAAATAATGGTCAAGAGGTGTCAAACGTGCTGGTCATTCTAACGTACATTTACAAATGACTATTTAACAATATTTAATTTCCGAATTTCTATTTTTCTATAAATTTGATTTATTAAAGAACTAAAACTAAGAACTATAGGTACAGTATAACTAATAGGCACGTTATTTTCAGTCTTGCATCCTAGATAATATTTTCAATTTGTGCATGGTAGAGTAATAATTGGAACAGATACAGGGTGATCAGAATTCTGAATCATGAACCACCCTGTTTATATGTTCCAATTAAATGACAGAAGATAGTGAATCAAGAGTCAAGATAGGGACATGTAAGTCGTTTTGACCAATAATGAATAAATGGATTTTGAACACCCTATAACTCTGTAATCATTTCCGCTAGATCCCATATGTGATATAGATATATTGATGCTCTTCAGGGAGAATCGAAATATGCAATGATATACAGGATATTCTTCTTGGAATGGATCGGTATAACTTAATTTTTTTTTTTCAGAATCTCCTTCCTCTACCAGCTGGTGCCAGTGCTGTATTAGTAAAACCGACAAAATACCATTATTACCCTCATAATCAACATATCTATCTACTACCAGAATGTGCCATTCAACAGGTGAGACACCCAACTTTCAGTACTCAATATTCAATTATTGTATTCAATACCCCTTATATCCTTTGAATAGAAATTTGAAACAGTTTATACGTTTATCTTCTCGATTAACGTTTTTTCTACAGCCACTATAGTAACTTTTGACTGAATTCTACATCATTTTCTGAATCAAATGATACCACATGCATAAGTGCCAATGGGCCTGTTTCAGTATTTCATTATTTTTTAAGCACTGACCCAAACTTCACGATCCGTTTCCTCCTCAGAGCTCTGTATTGATTTTTCAGATAATTATCGAAATCCACGATATTTCATAACATGAAAAACGCAAAGTTGATCGTGAAGACATAAACCGTGACAAATCCAATACGATACGACTTACATTGAGGAAAAATTCTATTAACCATAGTTAGAAATCAAATTATCCTAGCAGAAAACTATAACAGCATAGGGGGGACAAGCGAGTTATCTGTGATTATATGAAGTCGACTTTGCTTGAGACTTGAGATTATTAGAAATCAAACCTTGCTGCCACTAGCGAGTGCATCTGTATATGACTATCAGACAATGTTTCTGTAGTAGGTATCTGACTTTACCATCGCATTTAATAATGGGAGTTGGTCAATATTATATATATATATCATTTGGTAGAGAACCCACCTAGGTGGGTGGCCATCTTGTTGTGGTTATTCAGTTGTTTTCCAGGATTGTTGTCATAAAGAAAGGTAAAATTTTGACTGAAATCTAAGTTAACTCCCCATAATATCTATCCTGTTTGGAATAAATAGGTAAGTAAAAGAATTTGTAGAAAAGTGACATTCAAAGGCTTTTCCGAATTAAATTTAAATATGTTCCTGTAACACCCCGTATATTTGTGTTATGGTTGAAAGTAAACTCAGATTTTGATTTCAAAAACCCTCATAATATCACAATGATCGAATTTGTTGCCAATTTAACATACTCACAGTGTAAGTATGATAAAGATGCGAATCATCTTTGCCCATACGTGATGCTTTCTGCAGCTTTTCAGTGCATGAATTGAAGGAAAAACAAAACTACAAGATTTCTTTGTAACGGTTGATATCCGAACTATTCTATGTGGCTATTCAAAAGAAGTTTTTTTTTGTGAACTCGAAGTCTCCTCAATTGTAAAACCGGGTGTCCTCAAAACCAAAATCTCAGGGATAAGTCCGATTAATATGTATGTCTATAATTAGGCTGATCTAGTAGAAAAATTACGAATTCGTGTTTACGAAAGAATAGTAGTCATATGAACACTACAATATCAGCTTGATTCACAATAATTATTTCAATTTCAATATTTCAAGTATTCGAAGAAGATCGAAAAGGGTATTGCTTTCGTTGTATTTAAAAAACATTGCACAAGCGCAATTTCTTGAAAAGGCCCTGTTGGAGCACTCGCCAATGAAAAAAACAGTTCATTTTGCAATATTACGTATAAGTAAATAGGTATTCCTCAATGTTCTTTTGATTTTTTATGAAGAAAAAACAGAAACACCCAGACACGCAGAGTAAATTTTTGCTCATCATAAATATTGTACCAGTAAAAGTGAAGTTGGGTATTTGATATATCTGAAATACAAGGGAAATACTAAGTAAAACTTTATCTCCTAGGTTTGCAACGCCGTTTACGTAAGACTGAACTGGACCCAGCCCCTATGTGCCTGTCCTTCCAGATACAGAGACCCCTGTTCAGCATCTCTGAACTCAGATGATCTGCATACGACAGAACTGGCGACTAGCAAAAATGCAAAGGTGAAGATTTTATTATTTTTATTTTCAACTGACTTCAAAGCTTGAAATTGATCTGCATCATTCCACTTTTCTAATAAGCTATTGATCAAATATTTTGATGTTACGGATCAATGGCGCCTTCGCCATAAACGAAATGCCTTGAAAAAATGGCGAAGGGTACATTTTTGCGTATGCGTATTCACCAAATTGACGCGATCAAAAATGGGACCAGGTATTTTTTCTGAAAGGATTAAGAATGCTAAAGTCACTACAAAAATAGAAACAAAAAATCTTTCACTGATATATAGAACAGGTTTCCAAAAGATTTCTTAAAACGAAATATTAATTGTTCAAGATTTCCAAAATGGGATTATAGGGAATTGGAGCAAAAATTCAAGATTTGCACACACCATTAAATATTCATATTCAGCAAATTTTGCAACAATATTACAATATCGTAGTTGTATTTGCAGTCCTCCAGAAATATTGTAGAAAAATTGTATTTGTACACGACTCCAATATTCAGGGTTTTCCAGAATAACGTTCTTATATACTTCGGGAGGTAATTCTATAGATAAGAATAAGAAGAAATCTTCTTATCAACATATGGTGTCCGCAAATGCCTAAGGTTGCTATAGAGCCCTTTAAAGGTAAGTCCTTAAATGTAGTTTTCTCCAATTCTCTTTGTTATCATTTATCCTAGTCATGAAAAATTTTATCTAAGGGTGATTCGATCTTACAAATCGTTACGCGGTACGGAAAACATGATTTATTATACAGGGTGATTCAGATTTAAAGGCACATACTGAAATAGGTGATAGATCTCATCATTTTCATCAGAAAAGTTTATGTAAACATGAGTCAGATCTCGATCAGAAGCGGAGCTACAGGGGGTCAAAAGTTTTATTATTTTTTTCTATCAATTAATATATCTCGCTCACTTTTGAAGATATCTAGTAGAAATTGAGTGTGGTTGATACTTCCTAGAAGATCATCATTGAAGCATCTTACAGATTTTTAAAATCTACAGAGTGATACGTCATTGGGGGTAGATGCTTCCTTATCACCCCCAACATTTTCGTAGTATGCCTGACATCTTCAAGCTGAGAAATTCAATATATCGTTCAATTCAAAGACTTTTTTTGCCTCTCAATTTTATTCGAGAAACCAACCGTTTTCGAAATAAATAAGCATATCCGTTCTAAAAACATGTCAATTTTGCCTATATCCTGTTTCGCTTAAATGTTATTATTCGACTAAATTCGTAGAAACTGCAATAAAATGTACTAAAATTACAAACTGGATCAGTAGCGGGAATACAAAGGGTAGAAGGTCAAGGTTTTTTTAGTATTCAAAGTTGATAAATTTTTTCCAAGAATAAAATTTGCGCGAAACGTAGGCAAATTTAATATGTTTTAGAACATATATGCTTATTTATTTCGAAAACGGTTCGCTTCTCGGAAAAAATTGAGGAACAATAGACATAACAGTTCACATAATCCGGTAAATAGATATTGACAGAGGCGTACTACGGATTGGGGGGGATAAAAAAGCCTGTACCCCCAAAAATGTATCACCCAGTAGATTTTGAAAATCTTCTAGGAGGTAACAACCTCACTAAATTTCAAAATGATAACTTCAATAATGAGCAAGATATTTCAATTAATAGAAAAAAATAATTAATCTTTGACCTCTTGTAGCTCCGCTACTGATCGAGATCGAACACACGTTTATTATATAATTTTGTTTGATTGAAATGGTGAGACCAATCACACGTTTCAGTTCTTGCCTTAAAACCGGAATCACCCTGTATATGGAGGTGCGAAACTCGTAACATATGCTATAAAAATGTTTCAAGAATTTTGACTCCAAGATTCATCTCATTTTTACTATCAGGTATGAAAAAGGTATTCCTGTTAGAATGCCGTTAAAGGAAGGAACCGTTTTCGAGAAAAAGTGTCATTTTGCATTTTGATCTCCGAAAAAAAAAATCACAATGATTTTGAGCGTGTGCTGATAAAAAAATTAGCGCTTCATAAATACTGTCTGTAGGTTAATCGAGGAGAAATCTGTATTTGAGGACCTACCCTTTGAAGGTTTTTATCTGCAGAAATACCTCTCGAAGTATACAAACGTCATTCTGGTATAGAAACAATGCTGCAATATCAGTAATATTGTGGAAAATCATCGATAAATTTATTTTTTAATCTCTGGAATATAGTCAAATATCACATACGGTTATTCATTGATGCTCCTTAGATAAATCATGGAATATTGTACATGCAATCTATAAGAAATGTTGCAGCAATATTGAATATAGTAAACACAAAAAAGACCAAAATAACAACTCAATACAGGTGAGACTTTGGCACAATAAAATATCACGTGGTAGATTGAAAACCTCATTGGTATTTCAATAATTATCTCAAATATTGATGATATTATTTCTACAATAAACTGTTTGATTATATTTCCAACATATGCAATGTTAGACATATTTGCAATTTCCCGAAATGTTGTATCTATGTTTCGGATATTTCGAATCTGTATGAATCATGTTTCTGCAATATTCCTGGAACAAATCTGTGCTGCATGGGTTGACTAATGATACCATTATTTTTTTAGAAAGCCCTAACATTAGTCAAAACTTGTGAACCAACAGCGGAGATGAGGCTATGCCGTTCACCTAGAGATTGGTCACTTCTAGCCCTACAAAATATCCGCAGTGGAAAATCACACTATCTTATAATATGCAGGTGTCCAGATTCCAGCATATTGGGTAAGAAAATACATTCGCTAAAATTCAATCATGGTATTTCTATCCTTTTTCCAATACAGGGTAATTCAAAATTCGATGTAAATATTTTAAGAACGTATGGTTGAGATCAAAATAAGACTTTTTCTTCATATAAACATGTGCCCTAAAATGCACACCTTTTGAGCTACAACCATTGTAAGTTAGGTAAGAAGAAAATATTATTTCGAATTGTGACTAAAATAATTGATCAAATATTCTGAAAATTGGCGTGTCCCTGTCTTTTTAGTTAATTTAGGTAATAATATGTATTTGCTATCAACACTTTCAAGTTAATCCGGTACAATGTATTTTAATGTAGATATTGTCCCTAATTTCCGAAAATGGAGGTTTATTGAGGATATACCTATAAGCAATAAGCCAAGGTTAGTTTAGTTCATTGTACCAGTAACACCTGACGAAGCTACATGACCTGTGTTTGAGAATTTTGTGGAAATCTTATCGTTTTTACATCCATCAAGTAACGGCCGAGTCAATTCAAAATTAGCAAAGTATGCTTAGTTATCAAAATTTCATGTAATCTGTATTTTTCAGAGGGGCCTATGTCTCACGACCAGCCAACTTATGCTAGTGTACCAGGAATTAGAGTGTTTGGGATGATGTGTGTCGATTCAAGAAGAGGCAAGAGGCAATCGAGGATATCCAAGTCACTTGAAATGCCCCCGTTCCCATTAGAAAAGGCTTATCAGTTAGCAAAAACTGCTATATGGGATTAAAAGATAGATAGTAATATTTTGAAACCGTTATATTGAGACTTTGAACCGATTTTTGGAATACTGTTCACCGCTTATAACGTCGACTGTAGTTGTAATGGACGTATTTCTAGTAATAGGTCGTATTTATTGTTATTTATATTAGACTTTAGGCAAATGTAGATCAATTTGTGTGTCAAAATTTGTGATTTATGTATTATTATTTCTGACATACTTTTGTGACTACAAAGTTAGATTTCTCAAAATACAGAAATAAGTGTTTTTTTTAAATTATCAATTAGACTAAAACACCAGTGATTGTGATAAATGTTTACAAGGCCATTCTTGTAGATTGATTCATGAAATTATTAATGAATATTCCTGAAATATTCTAGGTGCCTAGTAGGCACTAAATATTTCATCCAGACCAAGAGGAATTTTATAAAACATTGAATACCTTGTAGGTATATATTTCTAGGAAAATTATTGTTAGAGACAAATAATCCCAGTTGCATTCATGTACAACAAACATTTGATTTGTTCTAGATGATAATCATATTATTTGTCATAGATCTCTGATATGCTGCAATCATATTGCTTTTCAACTTTCATGCAACTTGAGAGTAGTATGGTGCTATAGTTAGTTAATGTAGGTAATGTAAGACTTTTTGAAGTGTAGGTAACTCAATATATATTATTGAAATACAAATCTTGTTTTATTCATAAAATATAGTTATTCTTTACCAAAAATTCTGCTCCATTCAAACCCCTAAAAGGACAAACTACAGATTTTCGTGAATACCATGAATGTGTGAATTTGATTCAATGCAATTTGAAGAGGTTTCAAAGTTAATAGTTTTTAGGAAGGAATATCTTTCTGTAAAACAGCAAATGCATGAAAATGTTTTCCTCTTCTCCACCCTATCAAGTGCAATTGAAATGACATTGATGTTTAAAGCATAAATCCAAATACATTTGAAGTTAAAACCATAATGGAATAAAATGGATTTCTCATAGAAACACCAAACACCATTTTTTTCATTATTATAATTCATATTTAAAAAAGTTGAAAGCAACAGTTATCACAATAATTATCAACTAGGAAATAATATACAGAGTGAGTCAAATCACCACTAAAACTCAGAAACAATATACAGAAAGTTGATCAAGTATTCAGGGTCAATTCAATGTAGTAGGGAAAGAAAATTTTGAAATTCACCAATTTGATTTGGCCCACTTCAAGTATTCAAGTGAGTGACAAAAAACAGATGCAGCTAGTTAGTCATTTTAAAATGTTTAAAATCAGATATCATCATGTGTGATGAACTGTACAGTACCATTCCAAAAACTTGCAAAATTCATCAATTGAAATACATAACTTGTAGTTCATAAAGATGCAGAGCCAAATCTCTATATTCCACCTATTTCTAGGTCTCAAGAGATCAGAGTTTGACTCTGGCACATTTTTTTTATAAATTACTTATTAATAATCCTTTTGGTAGAATGGAAATTTCTCATTCTTTTGCATAATTTGCCACATACTCCATTACCTTAATTTTGAACTCTTCCTTTGAGTGCCTATACATATCAGCAGCCTCTACATTCAGAGGATCTTCAAAATTCAGTAAGTCCTAAAAAATTAATATCAAAGACTGAAACCTTCAACACAATAATCACCTGCAGATGCAAAATTTGATAGTGAACTTACTGTGAATAATGCATGTAGGCCCCAAACAACATCATTCAGTCTACGAATAGGTGACCAGCCCATCCCATCCACACTGTGTCTTCTGAGAAGTGATAAACAAACTTCACCTGACTCTGTGATATTTGGATGCCATAGCCTAGTAGAACACTTAACAACTGGAGGCTATAAAATCAAAATTTTCTTTACGATCTTATCACCTCATACAAAGATGAAGAAACTCACCACCATGTTGTACTCATCAGTCACACTTATTTCAAATCTGAATATCCCTCCTTCCCAATAGCCCTCAGCTGGTTTTACTATAAGAATGAATTTACTTAAATCATGTTCATTCATATAATGTACCGAACAACAAGCTGGTAGAAGCTGGGCCATCTCTTGGGCTTCTTTAACTAAAAGTCTATCTCTAATAGAGGCTCTTGAGGTGGTCGCTTCATTGGTTTGTGTCTTTCGTTTGAGATGTTGTGATAAGGTAATCATTTTGGAAAGGATTCTTACACAGTGATAACACTAATATTTGGTAACTCTGGAATATTCTATCAGTCTCTAATTTGATCAATTATTATTGAACAATGTTTTCATTTTGCAAGATGATTGAAGTAAGGTTAACATTATTAAACGTTTATTTTCAACAAATACGAGATCATTGTCGCCAACACATTAGACACTGACACTACTAAGGACACTGACACTACAGAGTACAGACCATAGGTACAGATAATGATGGAAGAATGTCACTGCCAATCAGACTTATCAGAGTCGAGATTACTTCAAATAAAATAAGAAGAAGTACCACAACATAACATAACCTAACTCACCGGTAATGGAGGGAATCAGGGGTTTAACTGGAATGGATCGAATGCTGTTATTACAGCATAACATCCTTTGAGAATCTCATTATGGGGATAACTGGATTGTTACCATTTTTAGAAAAAGCAACAAAACCATGTCACCTTGCCGAATTCCGGGGCGCCACAGTTGTTGTCGACACATATTGTTGGCTTCATAAAGGTGCTACTGGTTGCTATTTTCAACTGGCTCAAGGAGATGATAGTCATGTGTACGTATCCAATAATTCAAAAATCAGACGAGAAAACGAAATCTTGAATGATTGATTCCCAATGTTCCTTTCAGGTATGTAGATTATTGTATGAAGTATGTAAAATTATTGCAATCTCATGCTATTAGACCCATTCTTGTTTTTGATGGGAAAAACTTGCCTGCCAAAGCTGACACTGAAACGAAACGTAGAGAATCTCGAACAAAAGCAAAACAAAGAGCAGCAGAGTTACTTAGATTGGGAAAAACTGAAGAAGCCCGTTCATATATGAAACAAAGTATCAATATAACCCCAGAAATGGCTTCTGCTGTGATAAAAGAGTGTCAAAAAATGAATATTGATTGTATTGTTGCACCTTATGAATCTGATGCACAGCTTGCATTTTTCAATTTGAAAGGTAAATATAATAATCATATTGGTACATAATTTGAAAAATTTACTTTCAGGGATAGCTGATATTGTTATAACAGAAGATTCTGATCTGATGACTTTTGGTTGTACAAAAGTCTTATACAAACTAGATATGAGAGGCTGTGGGTTTCTTGTTGAAGCAGAAAAAATACCTCTTGCAATGAATATTAGACCTGACAAGTACACATTTGATAAATTTCGTTACATGTGTATTTTATCAGGATGTGATTATGTGGCATCTCTACCTGGTATAGGACTCAAGAAAGCTTTAAAATTCATCATGCTCACTGAAGAAACAAATCCTGAAATTGTAGGTGTTTTGCAAAATATAGATAAGTATAAGTATACAACTAACCCTAACAGATTTTATAAGAGATAATGCAATTCATATTATTGAGAGAAAAATGATTCATTCAGTATTCATTTTGCTGTTTTAATTTTGGAAAGTCCATAATCATGATACACTACTACACAAATCACCACTGTTTCCTGATAATAAAATTAACATTATTTGGGAATGAGAACAGTAGCTTAGCTGACTGGAAGAATAATTGATGCAAGCAGTTCTTTGGATTATCAATTGTATGATTAGAATACAAAAATAAGTTGAAATGCTGAAAATTATAAGTCTTGTTAGTTTTTAGACAGAGTGCCAAGATACCTCAACATGCGCCACTTAGAAGTGACAAAAGAGTACAAAGAAAACTTTTTATTAGCAGATGCAACATTCCGTCACCAAACAGTATTTGATCCTGCACAAAAAAAACTAGTCCCTCTTACTGATCCAGAAGTTTCTGGAACCAATCCAAAGTATTGCAAAAATGCTGGAGAAATTTACAATCATGAGATTGCCTATCAAGTAGCACTTGGCAATCTTCATCCCTCCTCACACAAACAAATCAATAACTGGGTGCCTCCTGAAAATGTAAGTAATCTTCATTTTACTAGGTTAGTCTCTTCATCTGGGTTCAGAGGAATAAAAAGAAATATTTTCACAAGGAAGACAATTGTTCTATATTTACCCAGTTCTTTTTGCTTAGGTTCTCTGTAAAAACAGTATTTGGTCTGGTAGTCACAAAAAAAGTGATTGGAACAAACATAAAAAATTGGTATTCAAAAAGAAGTGTGTTAAAACTGAAACTGAAGTGAAAATAGAAAATGTTAATTATGAACAAATCAAAATAGAAGAAGAGAAAAGATTAGAACAAGAGCTTCAGTGTTACTTCACAGTATCAGAAAAACATACTTCCAAAAAGGGAGAGGAGGAAACACCTACTAAATATGCCCCAAAGGAAAATGCTACTATTACCTCACCAATTTTGAATAGAAATCCATTTTTGAAAAGATTGAGCAAATTTCCATGCCACAGTAGTACTGAGAGGAATGTTATTATAAAAAGTCGGTATTTTGTCAATTCAACTGATGTACCAGTAAAAGATGAACAAGCAGATACAACAGTTAGTGGAGCTAAAACAGAAGAGCATGATCCTGAAATACCAAACAACATTATTGATGATGAGACTGAGGAATTAAGAAAAATAACAATAAGTGATATTACACTTCTAGAACAAAATTCAGAAATATCAAGAGATGCCAAAGTAATGAGCAATTCACAGCCAAACCCTTCAAAGGTATCATCAGAATTGAAAACATAGTTGTATTGTTAGAAATATTTTTATTTATTTCAGAGCACTATAGAAACCAGTATTCAAAAAAGAAAACGTCTAGGGCCTTGCCGATCAGTTGGATTGAAACGGACAAAGTCTGAGGGACAAAAGACACTCCACAGTTTCTTCAGGAAGATGTGAAAACAAGTTAAGTGTTGTTTTTTTTTTTTTAGGTATTCTACATCCTCGTTGTTTGTTTGACCATGTTTGACTTAATAATTTTTTAGTATCTCAATGATTCTAGTTTTCTGAAAAATCTGTTATTTTCTGCTCAATATTTTATCCACATGCAGTGCATGGGTGAGAAAATAAGGGGAACATATTGAGATTTTGAGGATGAAAAAGAAATGCCATAAAAGCTGTAATATAACTATTTATTTAAAAATAGGACTCATCAGTTATGTAACTGAGTTCATATAATAATAATTACATATGAAATCGAAAATATACACTTTTTTTAAGTGTGTAACAAAGGTGGGAGTCTCCCAACATGCCACCAGTATTTTTATTTAGTAACAATGGTATTCATGAACGAAAACCTGAAGTGCTGTGAAGAATATTATGATTTTAAGAAATGATTTTGAACTAATTGACAAACGAGCAACTAATAATAACATATACAATCACTATAAAAGCAGTTTCCATCTTTTAATGTTATACATCTGCACTAAAAATTCAAATTTATATTAACTAATTTAGGGAAAACCAGTGTTTTGAAAACAGTACTTCTATGCAAGACTTTAGGCTTATCCACATGTAATACTTTGTCCTTAATATCAGACTTGGACAAGTCACCTCTGAAACTCAGAAGCCTGAGTAAGTGATCTTCAGTAATATCTGGATATTTTTCTACCACCCTATGGAGCTCAAAAGATAACATGTCATCATCACTTTTGAGTACCTCTGCTAGCATTATTACAGCATCAAAATGATTCTCACACTGAAATTCATTGTACAAATTAGCAAACAAATTATTGAATCTCCAAGCTTCCTCCATGATCCTCTGAGCAGCCTTTGTACATTCCTCATATGTTTTGAAAGATATTCTCTTAGAGAGCATTGCAGTAAGATAGCGTTTCCCTACTATGCTCAGGACTTGTTCAACCACATATTTATAATTGGACTCTACCAGTTTCCTGTAATCTTGGAAGTAGTCTTCTATAGTGACGTAAATTGTATCTGCTGGATTCAGTTCATACCACTGAGATGTGAACAGTTTGTCAAAATGCTGATCCAAATCAATGAATAGTTCTTCTAGTAAGTATTGGACTGAGTCATTTCTAAGAGTCTAAAAAATATATAAAGGAAGGACTATTCACTTCAATTCCTATTTCAAGGGTGAACTTACAATATAAGTATACCTCAACCTGTTGAAATTCCTACTAAGATCATGGGATGATGTATTGGTATACTGTTTTTCTAATTGTGAACCTAATTCTTGCAATTGTAGGCAATTGTTCAATATAACAATCATGTACTGGGTGTAGTATACTACCTGGAAGTTTAAATCATGGAGATTTTCAATTTGAATATTTTTGAAAAACTTACTTGTTTCCTATCCTCAAAATATTTGTTTTTGAACTCAATAATGCCTTCCCGAAAAGAATCTGCATATAATATAACTTGCTCTATACTCAAATTGAGGGACTTTATTGTTAATTCCTCACTGAAAAATATGACACAAAAAACTTGGTATGAAAATTTCATAGAGTATATTATACCCTACCTAATTGTTTTTGCTACTTGAAGATTTTGATCAATCATTTGAAAAATTATAATGGGTGCAGCAGTCCTTGAGTATGACTCTGAATGAGGTTCAGTATATGATCGCCATTCTTCTTTTTCAGATTTCAGAGTGTTCTGCATCCATTCCATATAATTTTGCTCAATTGTCTTAGAAAAAAAAATAAGCTAATGAATATGAAATATTATTTTTTCAATTCTATCACCTTGAGATATTCTTCTTCCAAGCTATCTATGACAGCTGTTGGTAGAAGAGGAGGAAGATTTTCTGTATGTGTCATTAAATCAGGATGACCTAACATATCCCTGGATTTGTATGTTTTCAAGACCCAAGACAAAATGGTTACATTCTCATTACCCTTCAAACCATTCTGTATGATTTCTTGTAACTGGAATAGGTGTTATTCAAGAAGATGTTAAAGTTTTTGCCCTTTTTTTGGGAACATATTCAAAATTACTTACATGTATAGAGAGACATCCATGATATATCTGGATGAATTTATCCATGATGTTATAACTTGGAGGAAAACATGGCACACACAAAGTTTTAACTACTCTCAAATCTTCCAACAGTGTCATCCTGATAAGCTCAAGATACCTTATCAACCAGTGTTTATTGTCCTCTCTCTCTTCCACTTGGGTCCCTTCTATTTTGGAAGAAACTGATTTCTCTAGGATCTGGAAAGCCATTTCCTTCCACTTTTTTGGCCTTCCTTAAATTTTCAAATTTGAAAACACTGTTAACAATATCAAAAGAACATAAATAACCTATTGGTAAAAATCCTGTTTGTTTATGTTGTTTCAAAGACTCTTCATCAGCTTTTTCCTCTCTTTCAATTATTCTTAGAGCAGTTACAATTACTGTGGGGTCTTTTCTAACAGTGTTTAGAGTTCTTGAGAGAATGAATGTCAGCTGTTTCTCTAACAGGTTGGATAAAACCTGAACATCTGCAAAGTAAGCTTTCATCATGGAGTTTTCATATGGATTTTGGTTGGGCAGTTTGTGGAGCTCAAAAAGTAAATCATCTCTAGAATTTTCCAAATCTCTCAAACACTGAAAACATAAAGGTATATTGAAAGTAGGTTCTATTTTTTTGATTGACTCACCTGATGTGTATGTAGCAGTTTTCCTTCATTGATCAAAAGTTTTGTTTTTTCTACACTTTCTGGAACTGTGAATATGTGTTTGAGGTTTTCTCTAGCAGTCACATACTGTGAATGTCTCATATTTTCCTCCTTTATGTCATTCAACCTTTTGCATAGATCAGGAACATCAGTGAATAATTCAAACATCTTCTTCATGCTAAAAATGGAATAATCTCAACACTTGAGTTGTCTTCCAGAAATTTGAATCTACCTGATATTGATTTCTGAGACATCTTCCAAACAATGATGTAACTGGTTTAAGCCAATACGCACACCATCTAACTGTTGTTGCATAGCTGATTTTAGTAGTGCTTCTTTAGATGCCTTTTTCCGTACAAAACCTTGCTTGATCTGTTCAATTTTTTCCAATTGTCCTGGTCTATTTAGAGTATTTGTAACTTTAGCAGTAGCTGATGCTTTTGCAGCTGCCTCCAATTCCCTCATATTGACCCTTCCTGAAAAATGTATTCATCTTTAATCATGGTGAAAAATTTATTGAATCAAATCAACCAAGGATTATGGACCAAGAGATTGAAAAAAACACAAGAAATGGTAGAAAGATTGATTCAATAAAATAGTTCTTGTCGTGAAATACACATACTTGTTCCCATTTTTCTGTGGTGGGAATGCTGTTAGATTAATTTGAGGCTTCAAATGAGTTCAAATTACATTTTAATTTTCAAATAGCTACGAAATACATTTTTTGAAATTGGGCTTAATTGTTGATGATGTCGAATGTCGAAAATTGTTCACGTCGATGTCAGGTCAGGCTGTCAGAAGTGTCAGGAATGTCAGGTCAGGAGCAGGCCGAGCAGGAGTCAAGGCTACAATGGAATATTCCAGGGTTCAAACCTTTTTTCAGTAGTCAGTGGCGGTTCCAGGGGGGCGTGAGGGGCGCGCGCCCTTCCCTGAACAAGCAACTGAAACCATACGAAAGAAAAGTTCCCAAAAAACACACACAGTATCGCATGCCAATGTCACCTATGTATACCTAATCAAAACTTGAAAATAACACGTATTATTGCCAGTGCCAGTAGGTACCTACTCCCTCTGTTTTTATATGGCTGCATATGTTATTCCAGTATTTTGAGGCTAGTAAAAACATATTACCTGAAGACATCAGACATGGCTATCTCTTATAGCGTGTGACAACAAAATATGTATGGACGAATATCGAATCTATCAATATTTCATACTTCCAGACATCCCAATTACTTTCTTTCACTCTACGATTTTGGAGACGATTTTGCTTGTAGTCGCGAAATTCCGAGAAAAACTAATCCTACTTGATCCTAGATGATCTTAGATAACTCCAATTGGTCTAAATAGACTCAAATAGTGAAGATAATACTCCTAATACAGGTTTAGTTGAAGGACATCAGAACTAATTGCACTAGAGATGTGAAAATTAAAATGATTTTGAAAATTCCAGTGAACTCATATTTTTATAAAGAATGATCATCAGAATCCCAAAATGAGGAGAAATGAAGGATGTCTATATCGAATTTTCAAATTTTAAGATCGGTTCTGTAACATCGGGAGCGATATTGGAATTTTTTTCGTATTCTCAGATCCAAAAACCCTGCCAAACTCGTATTATTGGAATACCTGGATTTGGTAATAAACCAATAACAAATTTAATGAAATTTGGAAAATACTATGAATTGATTTTCCAAAACGCAAAATATACTGGATTCTATAAGTTCAATAACTTGAACAAAAATACCACCTGTTGAAAACTGATTTATTGCATTTTATCATAATTATGTTCTGTTGAATTTTACAGAATTTCTATTTTATTTTTCCAGCTATGTTTCTATAATCACATAAACATGTGCTCCATTTTCCTGAAAGCCCATACTAGATCGGCCACTGGCTAAAGTAATAAATATTATCACTCTCATCGGTGGCTATGGCAATAGATATTTACGTAATCGAAACGCGTCATTTTGTGTAACAATTGGATTTTGCGCGACAATCTATATCTTGGCCGTCGTGATGTACGTCGACGTGTTGGTTCCACATAGAAAAAAATCCAGTCTCGAAATTTTGAGAAAAAAGTAAAATTTCAAAGCACCTCTGATTCTGAACATTATTACCCCTCATTAAGTGTAAAGGTCTTTACTACCAATGATCTAAGAAGCATTCGTAGGTATAAATCTAAATTACTACGTCAATGAATTAGGTGGAAGAAGAAACTAGTGGAAGTGTAGTGTCAGTGTAAAAGTTTTACCAACGGAACTCGCTATTGGATTTCATGTGACATGGGGTAACTTATCTCTGACATGGTACACCACAGGTCTGTTCGTTTGTGTTACCAAACTTGCTATAAAGTTGATTTTGTTTTCATAGTTGTCTCTGTTCATGGCATGATGTAAACAGAGAGAGTCATAGAAAAAAAATTGAGTTTAGCAGGTAGAGCAAACACAAACGAACAGGCCTCACGAAATCACTACTTCAATTTTCAAATGTCGCTGTCCTGTCTATGCGGAAGAAATATTTTTTCATCACGTCAATTCGTCACTACATCAATGGTCGATCACTGCGCACTGCGCAGCTCTCCCTTCAAATCATAAAATTTTGGCCGTCCTAGTCCGGCAGGAAAGCAATATGGAGAATAAATTTCTTTCGAGAAAGTGTAACATTAACCTGCCATTGTATTTCTAAGTATCGTCAATGTTCAATGGTAGGTCATTTCTATAATTCTTTTTATATATATTATACATTTTCGTTTAGATAACACGAATGTATTGTTCCGTTAGATGATCGCCATACATGTAATAAAATATGTTGTTGAGATGTCAAATGATACATGGTTATTTGCATGACTAACCCTTGCTATCAGTTTTGTACAACGTTCTACTGGAATGTTGTTATCTCAGCGGATATTAGATGACGGATTCCTTCTTTCTAGATAGAAAATTTTACGAGAGCTCTCCAGCAAAATGGGAAAATTACTTTCAAAAATATTTGGCAACAAGGAGATGAGAATATTGATGCTTGGTCTAGATGCTGCTGGAAAAACGACAATATTGTACAAACTCAAACTAGGGCAATCAGTTACAACAATTCCTACAGTGGGATTCAATGTGGAGACAGTGACCTATAAAAATGTGAAATTCAATGTGTGGGATGTTGGTGGGCAAGACAAAATAAGACCATTGTGGCGGCACTACTACACAGGGACCCAAGGGTTGATATTTGTTGTGGATTGTGCTGATCGTGATAGGATTGATGAAGCTAGACAAGAACTACATCGTATAATCAATGATAGAGAAATGAGGGATGCAATAATACTAATATTTGCTAATAAACAGGACCTGCCAGAAGCTATGAAGCCTCATGAAATTCAGGAAAAGCTGGGACTGACAAGAATTAGAGATCGAAACTGGTATGTTCAACCAGCTTGTGCTACAACTGGTGATGGATTGTATGAGGGACTCACTTGGCTTACAAGCAATCACAAGTTATAGCATCCAGGTACTCACACTTTTTAGTACATGACTACAACCAGCACTATGATGAAGTTTATTTCCTGAGGTGATTCTTAGGATGCAGGCCTGGCACATGACCTCAACATTCCAAACTGCTGGCTCACAGTTTCAGAGATTAGCACATGAACTAAGCTAAGTGGTGTACATAGTTATTTAAATCAATTCACTATCAATGATAAAAGGTTGTGATTTGGTATATCAGACCAGTGTTCTTAAAATTACCTCCAATTTGTAAATAAATTCAGTACCTAGTATTATTATATTAACTATGTTTTATATTGTGAATTATTGTTGCTGCATTTAAAATTTGAAAACATTACATAATTTTATGTTCTTTCTATGTATGCAAAAATTTAATGATACATTTTAAAGAAGTTGTATTGAATCTTTTAAATATGTTGTATACTAAAGATTATCTATTTATGTATTGTGTGAATACAAATACAGATGTCATACACATTACTCTAAATGGAAGATTTTTGTTGTTATAATGGATGTCTGATTCTTTTTGTTCTTGAATTCAACTTTTCTCTGAATTCTTTCAAATTATGAATGAGAATTGTATGTGTATGATAGTATGATTTTGTTGAAGTGAAAATTCACCAATCCATGCCTAGTCATTTTAAGTACTTGAAATTTGACATCTAGTATCAATTCCCAACTCATAAATGGTGTGTAGATTTCATTCCCTAATTTAAGTGTTAATTGTCATTTTCACTCAGTAATCCATGTCAGCATTCATTGAATTCATACCACAAAAAATGCTCATTTATGGTCAACTATTTTAAAAGAGTTGTAGTCAAAGTATGCAGGCTGGGTGCTTTGTAGTTTTGTTAGTATTCAAAGAGAGTAGTAATGTTGACTTCACAATTAGAATATTCCCATCACAAATGATATGGAATTCTAATAACTGTTAATATTTATGATTTTTATTCTTTTTTACTTTTCTTTTTATTTCATAAATACTTATTGCCAAACTTTATTTCATATAAGTGAAGACTGAATAGATATATAAGACATTCTTCAGCCAGTCAAGAAAGCTATTTTTTTTCTTCTGAACAAATTATTTCAATATAACTATCTCAGATGAAAATGTCATAATTTTTCAGAAAATCAGTAAGTGTAAGAATAATCCTGCAATACATTCTTTTCAATTTGTACCAATAATGTTGGATATTGTAGTTTTCTGATACATTGAGCTTATCAGTGATAAACAAATGTTGGTCGAACAAATTATTGACCTGTGCACATATAAATTTAGATTTAATCTGTTGAAATGTTAAGAGTTCAATTACCAACTGAGAACATGATCATGGATATAATGTCACAAATTGGTGATGAATTTTATTATTATTCACTGCAATAACCTGCACAGGCTTGGTAGGAAATGATTAGAAAAATAAAAAGAAATAAAAAATTAGGGGCAATTGAAATATTTTCCATGCTGCATGGCTTATCTATTACATAGGTTCCTTATTCTGTTTTGTATAGTATGTTCACAAGGTAAAACTGTTTTTATGTAATTGTAACTAAACTAACTAGATTATATTTTTAGGTACCTATTATTTCATTCATTTCATAAGATGTATATTATTCAGGAAATTAATGAACTATTGAAAATTACAAATCATATAATAAACAAAACATTGCCAAACAAAATTATAACTCAAAGATAATTCACCTACATAAAGTAAACAATTTTGAAATTGTTATTTATTAATTTTCGTTAGAGTTGAAAAATATTTGTGATACATGATTTTTCTGAAAATACGTGGAGGCAATATAATAAAAATTCAAAAATAACTAGTTGTTTCATTAGAAATAATTCCAATAATAAATTGACAATATTTAATTGAAATTGACTTTTTTGCAACATTGTGAAGTTGAAATTCACATTTTAATGGATGGATTTACTTAGAAATTTCCATTTCTCTTACTCTTTTGAATCTTGCATCCAGCTAGATAAAAAGTTTGTATTCCAGTTGTTTTTTTTTCTTGGATCATAAGATTTTCAATAATCTTCCTAGAAACTTCAAAATCAATGAAACATTTAGTAAAATTTAAAACTAAACTTAAAAAAATTTTCATCCAAGAAATTAATGTTTTTCTCCTGTACTCACGAGCGGCGCTGATCTTTTATTCATTGGCCGGGCTATGTTATGATAGTTCAACATTACTGCATCTATCTATTTATAGCATAAATTTCATTAGCTAGTTGAAATTAGAATGCAGTGCAATACAGAAACTGGTAATAGGAAACAGTGATTAATAGTTGAATATACAGGGTGTTTCAAAAGAACCTAACCCCCTTGCTAGGGTAGGTAGAACATTGCAAAATAAGTTGGGTTTGCTCTGTAAAAAAATGTCGTAACGGCATCCGTTTTCATGATACAAGGTGTTGGAAAAATTATTTTTTTACACATTTTTCACGATTATTCCGAAACTACTGGCAACATTGTGATGAAGTTTTGTATGGATGTTTTTTGAAATCTGACACATCACATGAATTTGTTTTTATATCTGACTCTCATAGAGGGCGCTAGTTACACGGTTCGTACCGAGTAGTTTTGAACATAACTTTTTTGAGGTTAGATTTTTCAACACCTTGTATCTTGAAAACGGGTACGACATTTTTTTACTGAGCAAACCCAACTTATTTTGCAATGTTCTACCTACCCTAGCAAGGGGGTTAGGTTTTTTTTGAAACACCCTGTATACAATGCAAGACCATGAAAAAAAAGTTTTTCTTCAGATTACCTATCACCAATTAGATGAATATCTACAAGCAGTTTTTTGCATAATTTGAGAAAATATCAACGCAAAATTTCTTTTAAATTCGTTTATTCAAGTTCAATATCCTGACAAAAATTCATTTTTTCTTCTTCGGTGCATTTTCTAGTCCCTTCACGTACTTTTTTGGCACTTTGTATTTTTCTAAAAAAAAAAAAAAATTGAACAAAAGCACTTGAATGATTGAATAATTCATGATAACTGACTTCATGTTCAACCTGTTACATTAAGCATTACCTACTTACAAAATATGTTGAAGTGTATGTAAATGAAATATTGATTACCTGTCAATAGATTGTAAATGAATAACACTTGGTTTCCCTGAACTAAAAGTTGATCATACTTTTTTCCAGGGGGTCTACTAATACTTGTACTAGCTGCTACCCCATGCTGGCACTCCTTAGCAAATTCAGTTATTCGAACTCCAAATAATTCCAAATTATCAATCAGAGTCACTTTCTTATTTCCAGATCTTACAGACACTGATATAGTGATGGGAGAAACTTTTCCCTTGTTAAGTATTTCCTCATTTCCTGATTTGACTTTGTAACAGCTTTTCATTGCTGCACATACTTTTTCTATGACTTCTTCCCACATCACTGGATGTTCAGTTTTACAAACAGTTGCTAGGACATTTCTCGGCCTAACTAACCTTGAATGAAATAAATCATCAGACCAGGGTAAAATGTGGGAAAATAGGTATTTACCTATTATTGGTTTCATCTTGAAGATTATTATCTTTCACATATTTTGTCACATATTGCCTTATTTGTGAGGCTTGAATAGTGTCACCTTTCCTGAAAATGATTCAGAATGTTGAATTTTTAGAGGATTTTTATTCCAAACTATACCACAGTACCTATATGATCATTACTCTTGTAATTATAATATACTGAGACATTGACTGTGACTATACTTATGATCTGAATGAATTGTTGGTGCAATTCAACACATCTACTTGATAATTCTGGTGATATGTATTTTTTATAAAATGAAAAAAATATTAAATAACAGAAAATATCTTGAAATACTTCAGCCAGGAGAGTTCTTATAAGAAAACATGTGATAAATGTTTATATTGTTGAAAAATTACTATATGAAAATAAATAACCTTTTTTTTTCTAGTTTTCAAGGAATTATACTAATTTCACATTTTCTACTTCATTATTAGGGTGGAAAAAATATGATCAATCTGAAGGGAAATGTACAATGGTTTTCCTGATAAATCAACTGAATATTCTGAACCTTTATTTGTTTGTGGAATTGAATAATGCCTATATTTTTTTGTCTTTTTGGCCAATTATTATTAAATGAATCAATAAAATGAAATATTGCAAGGGTGAAAGTAGAATTTCCTAAATGTTCACCTGTGTCCTTCAAATATAGGTAATACATTTTGAGTAATCATATATGTCTCAACTACATCAGTTATCTGAGGGTCTTCTTTGTCATCAATATCATTTTTAGGCCTATCTTTAGGATCTAAGTAAAATTCCTGAATTCTTGGATGTTCCTTATTTATCAAAGTTATTGCTTCAACACCTCCTTTGATTTCTTTAACTGTAACAAGACCTTCCTGAAACATAGCATCATTTTTTGTGGTACTTAGTAAAATAATACTTACATCTGACATTTTTTTAAGGAATGGTTTCAGTTTCTTGTAAGAAGTTTTCTTGATGTCCAAGTTTCTATTGGGTGGACAAATAGGAAGCATATTGAGTTTGAAAAAATTTGATGTCAATACTGGTAGGGATAATGATTTTGTATACTTTATTGCACCTAAAAAGCAATAACACAGAAGGTTATCCATTTCCTCAATTGAACATTCATCATTTTCCTTTGAAGTTGCTACTCCAGGAACATCTTCCAGTTCCCTGATTGAAACTTCATTTTCATTTTTTTCTGAAGTGATGACATCATTTTCAGACACCATTGGAGATGAAGATGCTTGTTTCTGAGGGCTACCTAATGCTGGGAAATTCTCATCAAAACTCTTCAGCTGTAGCCACTCAGGAGAGCCTAAATTTGGTAAAGGAGGATTTGACATCCCTTCCAATGTACACAAGCTATCACCATAAAAGTGGTAAATGTTCACACATTTTCCCCTGGAACCTTGCAAAGACATAGCACCTGAGCTCTGACTTGCTACTCCTACTGCCACAGCAGCTTTGTTTGATGTCAAATTGATACATACAGTATCATTTTCAGAAATGGCACCATATTTCAACAAACCAGTTTGTAAGGAAGGTGTTACAACACCTGGGAGCATGAGATCTGCTCCTGAAGTGATAAAACTCATAACTTGCTGGTGGGTTGTAAAGGCATAGAGCAAATTGGGAAATTTCCACAATAAAAATATGGTGGGGAAAATTTTACCCTCAACTTCAAATATCACAGGTCTTTTCTGAACAGTATAAACATTTACAATCACATCATTATGTGTTATCACTTTCAACACATTGAGTGGTTCTTTTTTTGGCAATAATTCATTCAATTGACTTTCTGAGAAATTTGGAAACTTCCTCAGTAGAGTTTCTCTAAAATTCTTCCTGAAAATATTCAAATTGTGAATTGATAAGTCCAATATTGATGCGAGAAGTACCTTTCTGTGGCCTTTGACTGAGTGTTCGTCTTGATTTTAACAGGTTTTTTAAACATATTAATTGTTATTTGTACAAATTTTTAATTCAACACAGATTCAAATCTTGTATTTCAAGAGATTATTTCTATTCATTCCTTTGCATTTAACTTTAACCTAACTATTTCTCCTTCTGTTGATTTTTCTCGGTCCTCTCGTTTGCTGCTTTGAAGAGGCTTTGCTCTTGAAAAATGCCTTCAAAAATTTGATATTAGAATGTTAGAAAAAAAAAGTACAATAGAGTAACATTTCAATGATCTGCTCAATAATTTTCGAATAAAAACTTAAATAAATTTGTATTCATGTCAGAAATAGTTCTCGACAGTCACATGTCACATCTCATCTTCAGTTTTCAAATTTGAAGAATTAAGGCCGGGACACACATATCTGCGCCGAGTCCGCACCGCATCCGCACCGAGCCTAAATCCGCGAGTCGGCCGACAGTCGGTGATGGAGGTGGGAGGCCACACATTTGCCCTTCTTGAAGATGTTGAAAAAAATCAGTAGCAGTGAGTTAGCGATGGTAGCGTAGCACTCGCATTAGAGGAAGAAGATACTAATTGAGGACCTCGGTGCAAGAACCGGGCAACTCCATTTTATGCCGAAATTGGGTTATTGTATTCAACATATAGAATTTTTTCTTGCGCATCTTTTGGTGCAAGAATCAAGCGAATCCAACAATCTTCTATTGAGTTAACACGGTAAAGGATTCACCTCATGAGCAATTGAGGTGCAAGAGTCGGGCAACTCCAGGAGTTAGGAAAGTGAAAGTGAGCCCTTTCGAGATTCGGGGAGTGAATATATGTTCCAAAATCATAACTGTTGACGACGAGGACCCAAATTCTGGCAATGTTAACGAAGATCAAGACGCAGGAAACGTCAGCGATTCATCCTATGTTCAAAATAATATTTGTTCACAATATTTCTCGTTATATATTTCATTTTCAATAAAGAAGGAAAATTATTACACGAGTTTGACTATATTTTCAGAATGTTGTCTTTTTGGGGCAAGAAACAGGCAAACTTCTTTTTTAGCTTCTACAATGTGAATGAAAATAGTATCGACGTAAATACAGCTTTTCGAACGTAACTCTAAAGGATTCATACCATTAAGCATAATGTTTTTCAAGTTTCTCAAAAATATGAGTTTTTTTTTCCATTCCCCAACATTTTAAAAAATTGGAGTTGCCCGTTGCCCTGTTATTGCACCGAGGTCTTCAATTGGAGACGAAATCGAAATTATCTTCAACACACGTTCTGTGTAATTGACTGTATTTTTCATTTGTTTGGTCGTTCAACACTGAAAACTTCCAAATTTCCTCTATAAGCTTTTCCGATTCCATGTTATAAACCTCTGTGAGCCCGCACCGCATCCGTGTTAAATTAAACAGAACTAGTTGGACACGGCGCGTACACGATGCGGAGGTATCGGAAGGAAGACGGTGCGGACAAGTGTGGACTTTCTGGTAAGATTGCATCATTTTATTTTCTCGCCGTGTGTCGTCCAACACACGGCCGTCATGCGGTGCGGACTCGGCGCGGATATGTGTGTCCCGGCCTTTGGCCCATCTTTTTAAACTTCGTATTCAGATCTTATTTTGATTATCCAACTGGAATGCAACTGAACTATTTAAGAATAAACATAGTAGGCACTTTCTCAACAATCTTATATTTTTCATTGGAAATATATAAATAAATAAGACAGTTGGTAAATAGGATTGTCTAAATCCATAAAAACAAAAACTAGTTTATAACAATAAATAACATCACTAGTAAAAATTAAATATGTTAAAATATATACTATCTAGATATAAACAACCAGTTTCATCTGTGGAATCCGTCAAAAATAATAGGTACAGATAAGAAAAGGAAGTTTCGTTACTTTATGCAATATATACAGGTTTCAGGCAAGAAATGATGAATGTTTTACTTCTTATTTATACAGCAAAGATGTGAAATCATAAAAATAACATATCATCGAGACATTTTCCATCAGGTTTATAAAAAATAATTTACAGGTGACCTTCCTAATCTTTCATCATTCATTGAAAACTAAAATATCATTAAAAGTGCACCAATCAGCAGAATCACCATCAGCAGAACTATTTTTTGTGCATTTCTTCAGTACTTTGTAATTCAGATTTATGAATTCATTTAAACCAATCAAGTAATTAAAAAAGGATACAGAACAAATGATCAATGTTTACATTTACTCATGCTTTTGATTGTAGACTAATCTGAGAAAAATATTCATCACATCATTTCTGAATCAAACCATAAGTAGATAGGTGATAACAGTCTCCATCCTCTATAGTTTTAATACAACAGAAAAACATTGATTAGATTTCAATGATTATATACCAATCAGGAGAGGATATTTGTTGAACAATAAGGATAATTTCCAAACATTTGATTGCAGCAATTTACCAACATTTCTGCCAACAAGATTAGAAGGTAACTGAATTGAGTAGAATGTTATCACAGAATACCCAACATCAATTGTTGGGTATTCTGTGATGTTATATTAGATGTTTGAATGACCTTATTTCACTGTTTCACATAAATAGGATTATAACTTTGTTGTAATAGAAAATTCCAAACTCTATCACTCATCTATGATCACTCATTAAATGTTTAAATTTTATATCAATGAGGTCATGAAAAAGATTCTGATGGTGACCAGTAATAAATGTTTGCACCATAGGAAAAAACACATGTTTCAAGAACTTCCAAAACTATTTTTCATAAAATTTTCATGAAATTATCAATAATTTGAATTTTTCCATAAGTGGCAAACTTTTGCTTGTTGCCGAAATTTTTTGACGGGTTCTGATACACCTTCAAAGCTATTTCAAAAGCATGGCGAGTTGAGCTACAGTATGTTCCTGAGCAAGGGCTGCTAACTCTTTGGCCCACTCATCCAACAATACTGCACAAAGGGCAACATGCTGACCTTCATTGAATTTGGGATAAATCAAATTGAATTGCACTTCTTCCACGGATGCCGTTAGAGGAACACTGTTTTCCACTTGACTGGGTCGCCTGCTGAAAAGACTGCTTATTGGAGGGATATTTAAACTTCTTCTCTTTGCACTGTTCCTTTGGAAAGCCTCATTAGCTTCATTCTTTTTTGTCGGCCGTTGCTCTGTATTATATCTCCTCAGGTTTACCAACATAATCTCTCTGTCTACTAGGCAGTCTCGAGCATACTTAATTAACTGCAAGTGGTCTGGCTGTCGATACATATATTCATCAATTTTTTGCTTCAAGTCCCCAATAATCTTGAAAATAAAAATTATACCATCATATCCTCAGACCCAACCACATCAAAGAATTATTTGTTTTTGTAAGAAGTAGTGTTAGGTAATGCTAGAATAGTTTTCTTCCTTTCCATTTGAAGTAGGCAATTGGGAACTGGGAAGTAGTGTGACCAGAGTTCAGTTTTTATTTTTACCAGAAGAACAAAAAAGCAGCTTGTTGAAACAATAGAACCCAGAAAAGGGATGAGGCAAATTCAAAATATAAAATTGACTTACTGTGAATAGAGATGGCACATTTGGTTGCAATACTAAGCTATGGTCTAATAAGTAAGCCCTTAAAAGAGGTTGGGGGTATGCAGCAAGTCTGGAAATTAATCCTGTTAGATGCAAATTGATATAAACAGAATTTGACAAGAAGTTCTTCAATTTATCCAACAAGATAGAGAGAAACGGCCCAGCTGAAGGACTAGTGTGATCAATTTCATCAATTTTTGTAGGAGTTGATGTATCCCTCTTGGGTTTGAAGTTGCTAGAAATTTTCCAGTATTCTTCTGCTTTTTTTGTTTCCTCCAAATTCAGGTTCAGACTATCATAGCCACTGCTTCTTTCAAGTGATATGCTACTGGAGTTTTCTTTAAAAGAAAATGGTAAACATTACTATTTTATCAATCTTATTCATTCATTAAAATTACCTATGCCAATTCATTTTTTTTGCAGCATTTTAGAAATATATATTACCGATTTGAGAAGAAATTTGGAATTTAAATGAATTTACTTTGACTTCTCTTTTTCTCAGGTTCAACAAATGATTATAATTTTTATGAGACTGCTACCACTACTTGTGATATGTACTCACCTGAGTTATTAAAAACATCATCTTCTCCTGAGTAAGAGTTATTCCATGCCATACAAGCCATCTGGCACCTTCCAATCTTATTTCTAGCATCACAAATATATGCATAATACTTTCCATAAAGGCTCTGTTTGTGTTTCAGTGCATTCCACTGAGTGCTGTTTCCTTCATTACTAGTATCATCAATTATTTGACAACATCTGGGGGCAAGAGTCAATAGTTTTTCAAAGCTCTGACAGTATGGATCCAAAGGCAAGAGTATTTTCCTTTGTGATAGCATAAGATGCAAACAAGGTTGCAGATGTTTGAAGACAAGTTCCAACATTAGGTCCTCACAGTCTAAATCAACCATAGATTCAAACACAGCCAAGGAAACCAGACACAATTGTCTATTCTCAGAACTTAGCCTATGTATCAAGATATTCAGTAGTCTTTGCCCATCAAAATCCACTTTGAGTAAAAATTGTAGCAAAGAATGCAGCAAGCCTGGTTCTGTGACTGTTCTAAGTATAAGTTCAAGGTATGCAGTTGCAGCCACTTGTTCTTGAACATTACTCTGTAATAAGGCAGGCCCCAATACTGGTATCAAAAAACCTCTATATAAAAACTCTTGGAGTTGCTTTCGTATCATAGGATGTGCTACTTGTGCTATTGCATTGCTGAATTCCAAAGAAGTCACAAAAGTCAAGAGACCCTTGATTTCATTAACATCATCTGGAGTAAACCTATGCCAGTCAGGTACTAAAATGTCATCTAATATATTTGGTAACACAGAGTATAGTCCACTCAAACCTGATGCAACCAATACAGAGAAATTTGAATGCTCTGCAATATAAACAGCAACTTTATTATTTTTCTTTGATAGGGACATACAAAGAAGGAGAGCATCTCTTGCTCTCATTCCAATAGAGTCTTCTCTATGGACAAATTGTATCAATAGTGAGAATATTATAAAACTGAAAATACAATTTTTGTTATTGTTTTGTAATGAAAGAAATTTGAAAATATCAAGCTCACCTTTGTACATTTCTAATTTCTTGAAAAAATAGATTGATGAACTCTATATTTTGCATAAGAAGAGCACTAAGTTGGTTTATTAGATCAACCAGTAAGTTTTCAACTTCTCTAGAGAATACTTCTCCATCACAGGAACATAATAATCTTATCATTGGTCTCAAAAATGGTTCATGCATCAGCAAAATATGTCTTGACTGACTGATTAGCATTTGATACAATTTTAGTTGTTCACATCTTATTGCATTAATGTACCTAAAACAAATGGAATAGTAAACTGTAATAAGTGTACAAGCAGTAGAAACATTTTCAATAAAAAGTATAAACAACACAACAGAATGACTGAATTATTTTACATTAAAAGCAGGCCCAGAAAGACCTATAATGAGCAATTCCATAAAAAAGATGGAAGAAGGGTGAAAACACCATTCCCAAACCTTTCTCTGAAAGACATATCACATTATATATAGGTATATAATATATCATGGCTTCTGTATGAAATTCATCAAAAAAAAACCGAATATTTGAAATTTAATGATCATCATTTAGTGACCTGCTATGAATGTCTCATTGTACATTATAGTTAAATAACTATCTATCCATCTATGAAGAACACATGTGAAGTTGTTGAACACCCTGTTCATGAAATGCATTTACCTGCCAGATTGTGTACTCCATTGGAATAATTTTTCTAGAATATTTTCCTTCAGTAAGTGCTCTAGACAATGGGAAGAGGATATTGACATGCATAATCTATCATTTCTCTTCATGTCATACTGTAGCAAAGTGACCATTTGTTCTAAATGGTTTACCACTCCCAACACATCATCATGACTTGGAGATTGCTGAAACAAAGAGGAATGATTCAATATTTTGGGAATTGCACCTTGATACTGTGAAATTATACCTGAACTCTATTAAAAATTTTGAGAACTTGGTGCCAGTGTTCTTTGAAACTGTCATAGCAAGCCTGAGGATCACATTCGTCATCTGAATTGATTATTGAAGATTTCGAATTCCTTGTAGGTAGTAGGGAATTTAGCCATTCCATATTACATTTATTTTCACATCACTAAAACGTCACCTTGTTGTTTTCAGTATTTTTGTTTACGACTTCATTAAAATTGCCCACCTTGACACATTGACACAATGACAAAAAATGCTGATAAGAATTTAAGTAAAGAAGATGAATGACAGATTGACAATGACTGATCTGATAGAGATGAGCGGTGTCAATTCGTTCATCTGGAGTGTCGATCCAACATTCCACCCACCTACCTCGCAGATGTGTTTGCTTGTGAATAACATATTCAGTTCAGTTAAGCCGATTTCGAGATATTTCAATTTTTAGTGTTCGATGCAGCTTCGGAATATTTAAATAATTTCGAATAAAAAATGTTTTCTGTTATCTTCGTGGATGTAATTTGATCAGTGAATTAGCAGTGCGAAAATGGATTCCTCAAAATATACTTTTTTGGAGTGTACTTGTCGATTTTCATTTTTTATCTTCACCACCCTGTATCTCGGAAACGAAGCAATTTCGGACTGAGGTAAGTTGCTTCAAGTCGGCTTATTTTGAGTTTTGTTGTATATATATATGTGCTAAGATTTTGTGCAGACCACTAAGTTATCGCTTTACTTGTGAATGGTCCTAGTTTCTCAATATAAGGAAGGAAGAAATATGATATGTTGTTATGGTTGTGGGTGACTATATATCAAGGATTATTGACAGAGTTAATAATCCTTGACTATATATGGCCCATCGCCTATCAATTGAGTTCATTGTCGCCTATACGATATCTCAACAAAAATGGGACCAAAATGAAACTTTTTGAATCTATAAGGACGGAAAGTGAAGGATGGAAACGGTTTGACAAGTTTCGTATTATTTTTTCCCTACGTCGGCATCAACGCCTATTGGTCGATTTCGTTACCTATAGAGACAGAAGTTGGTCCCGCTTTGAGATATATGGTGACGTCACTTGACCTCAATGTTTTACCGATTAAACGAACTTACCTGTGAAGTTCAATCGTAATTATATTAGGCGCCTCGTCCAAAGAGATCACTAAGGTAGTATCGCTTTGCGCGCTAGTTACCACAAGTTTATAGATAATAAAAAGAGAAGAAGAGTACATGGCTATGCCCTTTGCTACCTTGACGTTCCTAATATCATGTCATTTAGTTTAAAGTGGGGGAAAACACTCGGCGGGTTATTCAATTTATCTGGGTGAGGTGGGTGTGATCTCTTTGGACGAGGCGCCTAATATAATTACGATTGAACTTCACAGGTAAGTTCGTTTAATCGGTAAATTATATGACGGCGCCTCGTCCTTCGAGATCACTAAGGTAGTTGTTCAAAGGATCTGTGTTTTCCCCAGGAATAGCAGTCTCTCCCCCATATATATATTTATATATATAGTCCCCAATGATTCTGGTAAACTCACTATCAAATTATGTGTATTATTGTTTTGAACAAGAAGTAATAATACATCAATACATAGTATCTGCAGAACGTATAAATCTACAACATTTAAGTAAAAACTGCTTTGGCAAAAGCTGATGGGTCCTTGAGGGGCTGTTTGTAAAACTTAGCAAACATCTCTGATTTCTTGGACCATCCGGCTGTTCTCCTGATAACATCAAGGGTAATGCCGTTTCTGTTAGCTGCCGATGTAGCAGCATGTCGGGTAGAGTACCCTGAAAAAATGGCTGTATTTATTCCCGCTTTCGAGAGGGATTGCTTGATCCATCTGCTAATGGTGCTGGTTGTGGCTGTCTGATAAGGGTTGCGAGAACTCAGGAATAAAAATTCTTGTTCTTGTCCCCTAATACTCGCTGTCTTCTCAATGTACATAATAAGGGCTGATGCTGCGCACACTTCTGGCCTCTCTCGGAAGAAAGGGATATGTAGACAGGGTTGTTCCTTATCATTTCTTGTTGTCTTTAGCTGGTCAGTTATGAAGATTTGGATCTCTTCTCTGGAAATGATTATATTTTGTACACGAATTCTTGCTAGGGTCTGAATTCTGTGGGCAGTGATCAATGCTAGTAAAGTAGCTGTTTTTCTTGACAGTTCTGTTAGTGACAGTTCCTCGTTTGGTGGACTCTGTCTGAACCAAGACAGAACTGTTTCAGGTTCCCAAACGAAATTATATTTCCTCTGAGGCGGTCTAAGTCTGAATATGCCCTTCAGAAATCGCTTTATGTTTGGACTATTACTGATATTTTCTTTTAGTATCAGGGTAAGAGCTGAGCGATAAGAATTGAAGGAATTATAGCGGAATTTCTTCTTTTCTAACTGAACTTCCAGGAATTTGATAACTTGAGCTTCCCCAGCGTTGTATACGTTTATTTGTTTGTCTTGGCAGAAACTCCACCATGCTTTATAAACCACCTCATACTGTTTTAGGGTTGAGGAGGATATAGATTCCATCAGCACTGGGATGGTGCTTTGGGCATTTCCTTTTCTTGAGAATGCTTCCCCGATAATAAACCTACCACCAGGAAAAGGTTCTCTTTGTGCAGGTTGTTGGACCTGAAAGGAATATGAAGATGCTCATTAGCTTGTAATATGAGTGGAGGCTTGACTAGAAGTTGGTTAAAGAGAGGAAACCATGGTTGAGTTTCCCATTTGGGGACAATGAGGATTCCCTCTGCTTTATCTAGAATTATTTTGTTCAGGGTGCGGAGGATTAGACAAAATGGAGGAAACGCATAGAAAAAGTTGTATTTCCAGTCAATGGTGAATGCATCTACCGCTATTGACCCTGGATCAGGGAACCAAGAAATATACATCTCACACTTTGCATTATTACTGGAAGCAAATAGGTCGATCTCTGGTTGTCCCAGCCTGTGAGAAATTAAGTTAAAACTGGATGACTTGAGTTCGTATTCAGTCTCTGTTGGAAGAATTCTAGACTGCCTATCGGCTACTGAGTTGTCTGCGGACGATACATATGATGCCTGAATCCAGACATCCCTCTCCTCGCACCATTGCCAAATTTCCTTGGCCAAGTTTGATAGTTTTGGGTAGAGAACACTACCCATACGATTAATGTAGGCTATTGCTGTAGTGTTGTCAATCCTTAGGAGTATACTAACCGACTGACAGTCACGGGCAAAACATTTTAGTGCCAGGAATGAGCTAAGCAGTTCAAGGTAGTTGATGTGGGATTTTTGCTCTGTCTCTGACCACCAGCCATGGGTCTCCACTCCGTCACATACAGCCCCCCACCCTGACAAAGATGAGTCTGAGAAGATTTCCATGAAATATTTGTCCTGCCTTATAACGTTAACAGAGTAGGGGACCCTTTCTTTCCACCACAATAGGTCCTCCCTGAGGTTCCTTCCAATTATCATGGTAGCATTGAAATTGTGACTAGTTTTACGAAGGGCCTGTACTTTTTCTCTTTCAAAGGTCTTTGTGTACAACCAGCCATATTTTATGGCTGGACAAGCAGAGACCAGGAGTCCTATGAATTTGGCAAAAAATCTTATGGTACAAGAACTTTTTTGTAGGATGTCATCAATAATGGCTGTCAGCTTCTGACGTTTCTCGTCTGGTAGACTTATAGTCATGTTATCAGTGTTGAATATAAAGCCCAAAAACTTACAGGTTCTGGAAGGTATTAAAATGCTCTTTTCATAGTTCACTACAAACCCAAGTGACTCTAGGAGACTGATAGTCATTTGTGTTTGAATTTTACACTTTGAGAAGTCTTCATGAATTATCAGAAAATCATCTAAGTAAAGTACACAGGTTATACCATTCCTTCGCATCCAAGCCAGAACTGGCTTTGTTAGCTTGGTAAACGTATAGGGTGCAGATGAAAGTCCAAATGGTAGACATGTGAATTCGTAAAAGATTGAATTGAAATGGAATCGAAGATATTTTTTATGGTCCTCATGTATGGGGAGAGTGTAGTAGGCATCTTTCAAATCTATTGAAGTCATGAAGTAGCCTTTATGCAAAAGTTTTGCTGCCGTCCTATAATCCTCCATTTTGAAGTGGAGTGGTCTCAGGAAGGTGTTGAGTTGTTTTAGGTTCAAAATGAACCTGGCTTTCTTATTTGGCTTGCTAGTCAAAAAGAAAGGAGATAGGAACTGATGCCCTGTTGGCTCAACCTGTGAGATAACACCCTGTTTTAGAAGGTTATTGATGTTTTCTAGAACTGACCCATGGGCTACCAAGGAAAGGGGTCTTGTGTTGACAGCAGTCTGCTGTCTAGGAGGGAGCTGTTGAAATGGTAGGGAATAACCCCTGACCCAATTCAAGATAACTTTATTAGTGGTAATCTTCTCCCAATTTTTATAGAAATATCTGAGCCTGCCTGGCAGACCTACCTCTAGTATCTTCTGTATCTGTTGCTGTTCCTCCCCTCCTTCCTTTTCTGTGGCTGATGAGGTTGTTGCCCTCTTGATCTCGATTCCCTCACAAATCGAGTTGGGCCCTGCCGGTTTAAAGGCCTCATTGGTGGCCTTGGATCTGATACAGCAGGAGCTCTGAAGCGATTGGTCACATTTGGTGACGTCTTGGGCTTTAAATCCTGGCTAGATTTTTCAACGACCTTGGCGTTTTTGTATTTTTCACCAAAATCTTTCCCAAGAAGGTACTGATCGATATTATTGCTGAAGGCTATGTCCTTTGCTGCTTTAGATAGGACCTGGCTCAGATTAGCACGTCTGTCTAGAGAGGTGATATAGTGAGCATTGGAAAATAGTCGTCCTGCATCTCCAAGGAACTTCAGCAGTTCTGTTCTTAGTGGAGAACTTGGCTCATTCAAAATTATATTCAGAGCTGAGCCTAATGCTGTTAGCCCAGCTCCAAGGTTTTTCTGTGTTGCTGTCATTCTTTGTTCTCTCTTCTTGATCGTCTCATTCATTAGGGGTACTATTTCCTCGTTGAGTGCTGGTACTCCTAAGGTAGAGCAATTAATAGGGGGAGGGTATTTCTCCAGTATTTCTGAGCTTGTACTTTTCTCTAGACCATTAGTCACTATGTGGCTCCACCTGGTGGTTACTGCCTCATGCAGTTGGATACCATCTGTTTGTTTTGCTAAAGGATCCTCCCCTAGGAAGCCTAGTGTTTCCGAATCTAACTCAGGCATAGGGGGTTCAGGTCTCGGTTCAGATGTTTCTTGGGGTGCCTGACTCCTTTGCTGGGGGCTAAGGTTACGTGCCCTATTTGTAGGAGCTGGACTGTGTGATTGGTCCCTATTATCTGTTCTGGGGGACTCTGCCATGCTACCTGCTCTGGAGGACTCAACAGAACTGCGTGCTCTGGAGGACCTGATATATGCTGAGGAAGAATCCAAAGAACTACTTGCTCTAGAGGGCTCAACAGAACTACGTGTTCCTGGGAGCACAACTGGACTGGGTGCCCTAGCAGGTTGGACGGAGCTACTGGCTCTGGAGGGCTCAACAGAACTACATGTTCTGGAGGGCCCAACTGGACTGGGTGGCCTAGCAGGATGGACAGAGCTACATGCTCTGGAGGGCTGAACGGAGCTACATGCTCCGTGAGCCCCTACTGCTTCCCTATGTCTGGATCTTGATCTGGAGTGGCCTGGTCTAGCATGATCTATGGAGCTGCGTGCCCCATGAGAGCCCTCCGAGTCTGTTCTTCTGGAATATCTCTCTTCCGATGAATGCTGTCGATGATCATTGGGGTGGCGTCTCCCTGTTTTGGAAAGTTCTTTCTCGAGTTTTCTGATTCTCATCTCTAACTTTGATGAGTGAGAATCGGATCTGGATCTGGAACGTTTTCTTTTCTTGTTTTTTCCCATATTCTTTTTTCTTATTTTTGGCTGAAATTTAGGAAATGAAAAAATTAGGTGTGGCTTCTAGACGCACAAAAAACGGAATGACATGATATTAGGAACGTCAAGGTAGCAAAGGGCATAGCCATGTACTCTTCTTCTCTTTTTATTATCTATAAACTTGTGGTAACTAGCGCGCAAAGCGATACTACCTTAGTGATCTCGAAGGACGAGGCGCCGTCATATAATTGAAGATTTGCTGGTACAGCTGACTCGCGCTTTGACCTAGACGCTTGCACTGAACTATAAGTAAGCCGAGATCGAGATATATTGGTGGACGGACAAGACACACAAGTTGAAAGAGAAGAAGGTTTTCTTTTTCTGACTCCAAGTCAACATTGGAATTGGATAAAACAGCAAAGAGATGGATGAAAAAGAAGAAGAAAGAGATGTTTTTATTTTTCTTAAATTGTTCTTGAAAACTGAAATGGAATATTAAATGGGTGAAATCTCGGTGGATGTAAATACCAGAAGGAAAAATTTCTCTTTCAGAGCTGTGGATGTTTGAATGGAAAACAGTGATCTCATATTCTAAAGCTGTTATTTTTAAATAGCAGCATAACCCCAAAATAGCCGGTTTGAAATGGCAAATTATTTGAATGAAAACATATATACTCATACATTTACTCCCAAAGAGTACCAAGTTGAACTTTTAGAATCGGCGAAAACCAAAAATACGATAATATGTTCAAGTACCAGCTCTTCAAAGGCATTCATAGTAGTGAAATTATTGCAAGAACATTCTTGGCAAATGCGTGGGAGTCATGGAAAAAAGGCCTTGTTTATTTTGGATTTACAGAATGTATTGATAATGACTTCCCATGTCAAACTCTTGACTGATTTGAATTGTATAAGTATTACTCAGAGTTTAGAAGAAAATGAGCATATCAAAGATTCTTTGAGGAAAAACCAAGTTTTTATAAGTACTGCAGAAATTGTTGTGGGGATGCTGCATTCCAATGTGATAGAAGATTTGGGCAATTTCAATTTGATTGTTATAGATGATTGTCTTTATGGACAACGCCAGTCATTCATTAAAATGATAATGAGTAGATATAACAGTTTACCCAAAAATGCTAAACCACATATACTAGGATTGACATCAGGATTGCTTAGTGCAGAACTCCAACCTGATAGATTAGAAGCAGAATTGAGACGTTTAGAAAAATTACTCAATTCCCAAGTAGATACTTCCTCAGAAATAGTCACACTCATTCGATTATCATGCAGACCCCATGAAACATTGATAGAATGTCCTAAGATGAAATCTTGTAGCTTAGAAGATGAAATTAAAGCAATAGTAAATAATACTAAAGATTTTCTATTAGAACATCGATTTGACCTTAGTGAAATATATGCAGATGATTTTCTAGATGACTACAAAGAAGTTCCTGATCCAAAAACTGTACCAATGGAACTATTGAATGACTTCATAGAGATACTTAATGACCTAGGACCCTGGTGTGCTGATAGGGCAGCATTCAATATGTTATTAAAAATCGAAAAACTCAAAGTAAAAGTTCCTTATGAAAGACATTACCTTCTCTTATGTATGCTTTCAACCACCTTGATAGCTGTCAGAGCTATTTGTGATTATGCATTTGAACCATATGAAGAACTTGATAGGGTAATGCATTTTTCTTCTCCCAAAGTATTGAGATTTCTTGAAGTGCTAAAACAGTTCAAACCTCCTGGTGAAAGACCAGAACCTATTGAAAAAGAGAAACCTGTGGAACTTGAAGCATCTCCTACAAAAATAAGGGGCAAGGGAAAAGGTCCAAGAAGGAACTTCATGCCTAGACCACAGAGTGAGGATATTTTATGTGCACTTGTTTTTGTGCATAATAGATACAAAGCAAAATCACTTTTTGGGTTGCTATGTGTAAGCTATCATTTATTTTTCTTAATACAAAACAAATTTATGAGACATCTCTAGACATAAGAAATATCACCAACATTACTGACAATCACATAATATAAAAAACAAATACTCCATAAATAGTGATGGAAAATAGTGAATCTTAGTCTGAAATAATTCCTGTAAAGTGTTATGATCTATTCCCTTATTTTCAATTTTGCCTAAGTTTCTCTTGATTCCTGCAACTCATTTCAGAATTTAGAGCTCTGAATAATTTTCTTTGAATAAATATTTGTACTGTGTTCTCCAATTCATGTTGATGGCACAAAAGGTACAATGGTATTTGTATTTCAGCAAACTGCTACATTATCTAAAAATTGTTTGGACATATTTATACATGAATGGAGTATATACAGTGTGTGACCCACTTGAAAGTGGGATACCCACTGACTTTCCATTCAAAATCAAAGTCTCAATTGAATTGAAGAACATAAACAGCTGTAAGTACCCCATGACAACAATTTTGGGGGTGAAAATTCGAAAACTTTACCTAAACGATTTTTTCAAATCTATGAAAAATGTTTGATTCTAATTCTTAAATGCAGAAGGATTTGAGATCACAATTTATTTCATGCCCATTAATTGGTGGGCAGAAGGGAGTCGATAATTCAGATTATACAATAGAACACAATACCGTAAACTTGGGTCACTTTGGTCCACTTTTGAACTTTACATTGTCATAACTTGAAAAACAAATGTTATAAATTTTTGTTCTTGGTCTTATTTTGAGGGTCTATATCAGTACTTTCAACTCTGGAATTGGCGTGAACCTGAAGGCTTTCTAAATCCATTATTTTTTTTGAAAATAGGGTGGCCAAAGTCAGACAACAAAGTGAGGTTACTTTGGCCACACATTATTTTATTCAGAAAATGTAAAGACACGCAAGATATAGATAACTTTGACCTTTGGTATGATCGTAAAATAGGTTTGTGTTGTTTTTTCAGGCTTTTGGACATATAATAAAAAAATAATGTTTTATAATGGTTTTTATTGCCACATTCTTTGTTAAAAAATAATACGAACTAAAATTAACATTCTTTGGTTAAAAAAATTGAATAAAATAACATTATTCGGTAAAAAAATCAAAAACAGTCCAAAGTAGCTAAGGAGGGTGGTATTTTTCAATTTTCAAGAAACCTCTCTTAGATGGAATAGGTGTCTCTATGACCTGCAAAATCTTTTCTTCTGCGTACCAGAACGTCGTCTGGCGTGGGCTATTTCCACTGAAACAATCCACTAGCTGCAAGAGATTTTATTTTATATTGCTTCACTATTTCCTGAATAATGTCCACGATCTTTCCAAGATAAGTCTTTTTCTCGAATAAAAATAGAACAAACTTCCCGATTTTGAGTTCATTGTTACATCCAGTTCTTGTATCTTTTTCTTCTGTGTCTTTATTTCCACTTTCGAGTTCTCTCAAGTCCTGGTTTTCCTCCGATTGGAGGGAAATATTAACAGAGCTGTCGGAGTCACTGGATATTGTCCTAGTTTCTTTGGTGGCCAAAGTCTGACCAATAATAACGTTTTTATATACGGTGATGTTGGCCGCGCCCTAGCGGTACAACCTGCAATCCTAATTTTGCAACGACTGCTCATAAACTTTCTTCATGGTTGTATGATGTCGCTTTTTCACCTGAAAATCTCAGATGTCGCCTAGTTATTCACCAAAGAGTGAAGTTTTTGAAGGAGAAAATTGCTCGTTTTTCACTTCATGATTTTTTTTCAGGAACTCGAAAATAAATTGTGTGCTCTAAATATTCTCTTTTCAGTCCAATAAGATCTATAGGAACGTTAAACAATTACATTCGAAAAATTATTACTATTATAACATAATTATGCATCAAAATAAACAAATATTGATAATTGGCCAAAGTCAAAACCCTAGGGGCTAAAGTCACCCAAGTTTACGGTACTCAATAATAACAATAATCCTGAAGAATCAAATTCTTTTTCAGTTGCTTTCCCAAGTTCATGACGATTTCTGGTGGGTGGCCACTCTATTTTCACTAGAAAAACTAGCAGATCCCATAAAGGAACCGAGAGAAGCAGAACTGGAACACAAAACTCAGGAAGAAGTTTTACGCAAATTCAGATGCCATGAATGTAACATCCTGATTGCTACATCTGTATTAGAACAAGGCTGTGATTTACCAAAATGCAATTTAGTTATAAGATTTGATTTACCAACAACATTCCATAGCTACATACAGTGTAAAGCGCGAGCTAGAGCCGTTGATGCGCACTACCTATTATTTGTGAATGACAATGAACTTCCAACTTTTGTTGAAAACTTGGCTGAGTATAATGAAGTTGAGAACACGTTGCTCAGGCGATGCTACAGCCTGGAACCTGACAGAGAAGAAGAGTTATACGCCGATGCATATTCTATGTTTTATAAGCCATATCAGCCATTGCAAGAAGAAGGAGCCCCTAGTATCACACTTCTCAATTCAATTGCTTTACTAAATAAGTACTGTGCCAAATTACCCAGTGATACGTTTACACGATTAACCCCAGTCTGGCGAGAGGAAAAAATTGCTCAATCACAGTTTGTATGTCATATTAGGTTGCCCATCAACTCGCCTGTCAAGCAGACTATTTCTAGTCCACCAATGCCAAATAGTTTGCTGGCAAGACGTGCAGCTGCTTTCTTGGTGTGCCAACTACTGCATAGTGTCAGAGAGCTGGACGATAATCTCCAGCCTATCAATAAAGAGAACTTCAGGGCCACCGAAGACGATTGGAATAATTTCGCTTTGGATGAGCCTGATGATGAAAATTCTGACATAAGGCCAGGTAAGGCATTGGTACTCTCTGTGACTATATATGTTGCTCATATTTTTCCTAGTGGATACTCATTTATGCAATACTATTACCGTATTAACACGAAGTGGTTTGTTATCTCTTGTTCAATATTAAGTTCACATAACATGACGAAGCTACTTCCTTTTGAATAATTGATGAGAACATAATATACTTCAAGTAGGAGACCTTTAAATGTTACCCCGATATTGGGCGCCAATTCATACTCGGTCATGATGTTATTGTGCTCGATTTTCGTTTCATATAGTATGTTACAAAGAAATATATAGTAGATAAATGACTCCCATCTTGTAGGTACCACCAAAAGAAGGCAGTATTACTACAAACGAATAGCAGATGCACTCCTAGGTTGTCATCCTGTACCGGGAGAACCAGCGTTTTTCTATAAACTCATCATGACCCTCACATGCCCCCTGCCGGAGGAACAGAATACTAGAGGCCGGAAAATTTACCCACCTGAGGAGTCTCCTCAAGGTTTCGGAATACTAACATCAAAGGAAATACCAAAGGTCTGAAATCTCCTATAGCTCAAATAATGAAATTAGGAAACAATTTTATTTTTAGATCAGTGCTTTTCCAATTTTCACTAGATCTGGCGAGGTCAGTGTCGATTTAGATCTGATTTCTAGGGATATCATCCTGACACAAGTACAAATAGATAAGACTAGAGAGTTTGTTAATTATACCTTCACAAGTGTATTGAGGCTACAAAAATATCTGATGCTGTTTAATCCTGAGGCTTCCTCTAATAACTATTTGATTGTGCCAACGATTACAGGTGTTTATTTCATCCGTCAATCTTCTTATTGGGGATAACTCATTCTCAATTCTAGGTGATGACTGCAATATCAGTATCGATTGGAAGTTCATAGACTTGATTTATGAAAACCTAAGTGCAATGCCAGTTCTCATACCTGACAAGGAAAGGAAAGATTATGTATTCAAAGAAGAAGATTATCGTGATGCTGTGGTGATGCCTTGGTACCGGAACCAAGACCAACCCCAGTACTTCTATGTTGCTGAGATTTGCACAAACCTGAATCCAACTTCATCATTTCCTGGCTCAGAATATGCCACGTTTGATGAGTACTACAAGCGCAAATATAATATTCAGATTCAAAATGAGGCGCAGAAATTGCTCGACGTAGACCACACCTCGGCCAGATTAAATTTCCTTACACCTAGATATGTCAATCGCAAAGGTAGTTTCATAATGTATTTTCAATGCCAATAATTTAATTCAACTTCAACTATAACTCAAGTTTGACCCAATTTCATCATGACTCAAAGCTTTAATTGATTCAAATAATTCAAATTTATTGAATTTCCTTGATTGTGTCAACGTCAACTTCCCGACAGGTTGAATTTAAATCATATTTGAAAAATGTATTATTAGTTGTTAAGTGTATCTATCAATTTTTGCTAGAAACAGTTCCTAATTACCGTCTGCCGTATTATACATTTTATTCAGATAAATTTTCACAATTTTCTACCTACCTATGTAACTCAAATATTCAATTGTTTTAAGGTGTTGCTCTGCCCACAAGCAGTGAAGAAACCAAACGGGCAAAGAGGGAGAATTTGGAGCAAAAACAGATTCTAGTGCCCGAACTTTGTGCGATTCATCCTTTTCCAGCATCACTATGGAGGAAAGCTGTCGCTCTACCTTGTGTCCTCTACAGAATCAATGCTCTTTTATTGGCAGATCAGATAAGAAGAACTGTCGCTGTTGATCTCAATTTGGGCAAAGTACAGTTACCAGAAGGTAGGTAAACCTTCATTTGATGCTAGATCATAACTATGATATCTGCATCAACAAATTGGTGTTATTTCTTTAGATTTCAAATGGCCCTCACTGAACTTTGGTTGGAGCTTGTCCGATGTCCTGAAAAAGTCCAGGGAAGAAGAACAGCGGAAACAACAGGATAAAATCAAGATCGTGGAAATCGAGGTGGAAGAGAAGCTGCCAGAACTGAGAATCACCGAAATCCATCCAGAAATTGAAATCATCTCAAACCAAAGCGATTCAGTGATAGACGAGAGCGAAGTCGAGCATAAAAACGGGGAGAACTGGGTCGAAATCGGGACTTGGTGTAACGAAATGGCGGAGAACATGGAATCCGAAAACTCCACGGTGATGGTTCGATACGCGTCTCCCACTAGCTGGAACAACATGGACTATCAGTACGACGACTTCTCTGAAAGCGATTCTTATCTATCCGAAGAGTCCGAAGTGGAATGGGGTGGATTGAGAATCGAATTCACCGGAGACCACCAAGCTGAAGCCTTAGATGATGACGAGGACGAGGACAAAGAATTTTATCTGTACAATGACTCTAACGCTTGGAAAATCGACGATGACAGCGAAACTACCGAGTTGTTGAGGCAGGAGTTCCACGAAGCTTGTGCAAGGAACAGAGAACACATTTACTCCAGCAGTATATTGGTCAGAGCTGGGAATACTTTTGAGAAAAACACTAGTAAAAACGAGTCCTCGCGAGCTAGCTTAGTTATCAAACCCGAGGAGGTGAATTATTCCTTGCAACCTGTCGATTTAGTGAGACCACCAGCGTTGCCTATTATAAATGGTCACGAGAACAATTCCTTTTCCATCGAGGAATCAGATCTCACTTTCAGCTTCGACAAACAACCTGACTTGAACGAGCATCCAGGGCCGAGCCCCAACGTCCTCCTACAAGCTTTAACCATGTCCAACGCCAACGACGGCATAAACCTAGAACGACTAGAAACCATCGGCGACTCCTTCCTCAAATACGCCATCACCAACTACCTCTACTCGAAGTATGAAAACGTCCATGAAGGCAAACTCAGCCACCTGCGCTCGAAGCAGGTCAGCAACCTGAACCTGTACCGATTGGGTAAGCGCAGAGGCTTCGGCGACTTCATGATCGCGACGAAGTTCGATCCGCACGACAACTGGCTACCGCCCTGCTTCTACGTTCCCAAGCAGCTCGAGGAGGCGCTCATCGACGCCCAGTTCCCCGCCAACTGTTGGACGATGGCAGACATGGCAGCAACGCGGAACATGAGTCTGGACGAGATCTGCGTGATGGTGCGCGAAAGAGCAGAAGGATCCATCTTGACGAACGTCATTCCGTACAATCTGGTGACCCAGCACAGCATTCCGGATAAGAGTATAGCGGACTGCGTGGAGGCTGTCATCGGGGCTTACTTGATTGAGTGCGGGCCGCGCGGGGCTCTTCTGTTCATGGCTTGGCTGGGTATCAGGGTGCTGCCTAAGTTGGAGGACGGGTCTTATGAGGAAGTACAGATGCCGAAGTCGCCGCTCTTGAGGCATGCCCCTAATGCTGAGGCCGAGTTGAACAGGTTAGTAGTCCGTTAGGGTAAAAATGGAACATGCACCTACCTGCACTGCAGAGAGGGTTTATAAACGCCAAGTTGGTACTCTCCCCCTCGTAAGGGTACCTATCCTGTCTCCATAGAGACATAAAGGTGAATATCTGTCCATCTGTTTACTTGAAAATCTAGAAAGGAGATCAATATGTCTTCTTCCGTACGAATATGAGGATCTGAATGCAGAAAAAGTATACTCTAGTCAGTTTTCTTCGAGGATGTTTTCTTCGGTTTGGCTTGAATGGATGGTATCCTCCGATTTGGTGAAAACTATCAAATACTGTGCTTCTCGGATCTGCAACTAAACACACATATCAATTACCGATCTTCAAAAAAATTCAAAATGATTATCAGATGCGGCGGTACATGGATGTTGATTCTGAAACATACCGTAACTGGAGTGCAACATATCAACTGTCCTCCGATTTGGTGAAAAGTATCAAACACTGTGCTTCTCGGATCTGCAACTAAACACACATATCAATTATTGATCTTCAGAAAAATCCAAAATGAATATCATATGAGGCGGTACATGTATGTTGATTCTGAAACATACCGTAACTGGAGTGCAAGATATCCGCTTTCTTTTCGAATTGTGGTTTCCTTAGTAGCCATCATCCAACCCTCCTTCACATTTTCAAATTACGTGGCTAATAATAAGGACCTGGAATGCCAAATAATGTGCTGCTCGGATCTAAAAAAGCATCAATTTCAAATTTGAATCAGGTACATATGGAATTTAAATCTAGAACATGTCTGAACTTTCGTAACTGGAACGCGATATATTTTTGTAATTTATCAATTCATCAACTATCTCAAAGAAGACGAGGCAGGCAGATAAGCAACAATTTCCTCTGCAATGAAAAACACTGTATATACCTAACCCATCTGGCGCCTACCTCCTTTGCAGAGAGGGTTTATGAACGCCAAGCTGGTACTCTCCCCTCGTAAGGGTACCTGTCGTGTTCTCATAGAGACATAAAGGTGAATATCTGTCTATCTGTTTACTTGAGAATCTAGAAAGGAAATCAATATGTCGCCTTCCGTACGAATATGAGGATCTGAATGCAGGAAAAGTATACTCTAGTCAGTTTTCTTCGAGGATTTTTTCTTCGGTTTGTCTTGAATGGATGGATGGTATCCTCCGATTTGGTGAAAATTATCAAACACTGTGCTTCTCGGATCTGCAACTAAACACACATATCAATTATCGACCTTCAAAAAAATTCAAAATGAATATCAGATGAGGTGGTACATGGATACTGATTCTGAAACATACCGTAACTGGAGTGCAACATATCATCTATCCTCCGATTTGGTGAAAAGTATCAAACACTGTGCTTCTCGGATCTGCAACTAAACACACATATCAATTATCGATCTTTAAAAAAATCCAAAATGAATATCATATGAAGCGGTACATGGATGTTGATTCTGAAACATACCGTAACTGGAGTGCAACATATCAACTATCCTCCGATTTGGTGAAAAGTATCAAACACTGTGCTTCCGGATCTGCAACTAAACACACATATCAATTATTGATCTTCAAAAAAATCCAAAATGAATATCATATGAGGCGGTACATGTATGTTGATTCTGAAACATACCGTAACTGGAGTGCAAGATATCCGCTTTTTTTTCGAATTGTGGTTTCCTTATCCACCCCTTCTTCACATTTTCAAATTACGTGGCTAATAATGACCTGGAATGCCAAATAATGTGCTGCTCGGATCTAAAAAAGCATCAATTTCAAATTTGAATCAGGTACATATAGAATTTAAATCTAGAACATGTCTGAACTTTCGTAACTGGAACGCGATATATTTTTGTAATTTATCAATTAATTCATCAACTATCTCAAAGAAGACGAGGCAGGCAGATAAGCAACAATTTCCTCTGCAATGAAAAACACTGTATATACCTAACCCATCAGGCGCCTACCTCCTTTGCAGAGAGGGTTTATGAACGCCAAGTTGGTACTCTCCCCTCGTAAGGGTACCTGTCGTGTTCTCATAGAGACATAAAGGTGAATATCTGTCTATCTGTTTACTTGAGAATCTAGAAAGGGAATCAATATGTCGCCTTCCGTACGAATATGAGGATCTGAATGCAGGAAAAGTATACTCTAGTCAGTTTTCTTCGAGGATTTTTTCTTCGGTTTGTCTTGAATGGATGGATGGTATCCTCCGATTTGGTGAAAATTATCAAACACTGTGCTTCTCGGATCTGCAACTAAACACACATATCAATTATCGACCTTCAAAAAAATTCAAAATGAATATCAGATGAGGTGGTACATGGATACTGATTCTGAAACATACCGTAACTGGAGTGCAACATATCATCTATCCTCCGATTTGGTGAAAAGTATCAAACACTGTGCTTCTCGGATCTGCAACTAAACACACATATCAATTATCGATCTTTAAAAAAATCCAAAATGAATATCATATGAGGCGGTACATGGATGTTGATTCTGAAACATACCGTAACTGGAGTGCAACATATCAACTATCCTCCGATTTGGTGAAAAGTATCAAACACTGTGCTTCCGGATCTGCAACTAAACACACATATCAATTAACGATCTTTAAAAAAATCCAAAATGAATATCATATGAGGCGGTACATGTATGTTGATTCTGAAACATACCGTAACTGGAGTGCAAGATATCCGCTTTTTTTTCGAATTGTGGTTTCCTTATCCACCCCTTCTTCACATTTTCAAATTACGTGGCTAATAATGACCTGGAATGCCAAATAATGTGCTGCTCGGATCTAAAAAAGCATCAATTTCAAATTTGAATCAGGTACATATAGAATTTAAATCTAGAACATGTCTGAACTTTCGTAACTGGAACGCGATATATTTTTGTAATTTATCAATTAATTCATCAACTATCTCAAAGAAGACGAGGCAGGCAGATAAGCAACAATTTCCTCTGCAATGAAAAACACTGTATATACCTAACCCATCAGGCGCCTACCTCCTTTGCAGAGAGGGTTTATGAACGCCAAGTTGGTACTCTCCCCTCGTAAGGGTACCTGTCGTGTTCTCATAGAGACATAAAGGTGAATATCTGTCTATCTGTTTACTTGAGAATCTAGAAAGGAAATCAATATGTCGCCTTCCGTACGAATATGAGGATCTGAATGCAGGAAAAGTATACTCTAGTCAGTTTTCTTCGAGGATGTTTTCTTCGGTTTGGCTTGAATGGATGGATGGTATCCTCCGATTTGGTGAAAATTATCAAACACTGTGCTTCTCGGATCTGCAACTAAACACACATATCAATTATCGACCTTCAAAAAAATTCAAAATGAATATCAGATGAGGTGGTACATGGATATTGATTCTGAAACATACCGTAACTGGAGTGCAACATATCAACTGTCCTCCGATTTGGTGAAAAGTATCAAACACTGTGCTTCTCGGATCTGCAACTAAACACACATATCAATTAACGATCTTTAAAAAAATCCAAAATGAATATGATATGAGGCGGTACATGGATGTTGATTCTGAAACATACAGTAACTGGAGTGCAAGATATCCGCTTTCTTTTCGAATTGTGGTTTCCTTAGTAGCCATCATCCACCCTCCTTCACATTTTCACATTACGTGGCTAATAATAAGGACCAGGAATGCCAAATAATGTGCTGCTCGGATCTAAAAAAGCATCAATTTCAAATTTGAATCGTTAGGTACATATGGAATTTGAACATGTCTGAACTTTCGTAACTGGAACGCGATATATTTTTGTAATTTATCAATTCATCAACTATCTCAAAGAAGACGAGGCAGGCAGATAAGCAACAATTTCCTCTGCAATGAAAAACACTGTATATACCTAACCCATCAGGCGCCTACCTCCTTTGCAGAGAGGGTTTATGAACGCCAAGTTGGTACTCTCCCCTCGTAAGGGTACCTGTCGTGTTCTCATAGAGACATAAAGGTGAATATCTGTCTATCTGTTTACTTGAGAATCTAGAAAGGAAATCAATATGTCGCCTTCCGTACGAATATGAGGATCTGAATGCAGGAAAAGGATACTCTCGTCAGATTTCTTCGAGGATGTTTTTTTCGGTTTGGCTTGAATGGATGGTATCGTCCGATTTGGTGAAAAGTATCAAACACTGCGCCTCTCGGATCTGCAACTAAACACACATTTCAATCATCGATCTTCAAAAAAATTCAAAATGAATATCATATGTATATTTATATTTAATTTTTGCTAATGAATGTGGCAACTTTGAAATGAGAATCGACCTCTTTCAGAATATTTCTCGGAAATGAATAGTTTGGCTAAAAATGAATGTATTCACTACTTTACGAAAGCACGTATACATAATATAGCTCTGAACTATAATTTTTTTTCTCTGAAATCACACGATTTGAATCAATTCAATACAAGGGCAGTGAGACAAAAACTTTTTTCTCGAAAAAATGTGAATTTTATCAATCACAAATCGAAAAAAAAAATTAACACGGACATGCAGGGTGGACGTATAGTGTGGCAGAGAGAGATAACGACTTCGGTGTTTGAAATATATAAACAAAAATTTTTAGATGGTCTAGGCTCGAGCAGCACATTTCTGAAATATTTCGCGTTGTACAAGGTGACTGAAAAATGCTTGGCATATCAAGGTTATACTCCTTCTTATGGGGTAACCTGTACTTTATTGCATTTTCAGACTCTCCCTTTTGAGCTGATTTCATCGATCTATCACACTTTAGGTTCAAGGCAAATGATTCCAGAGAGATAGGGTGTGAAAAATCGAGATTTTTCAACTTTCGAAAATAGTTCTTGTGTCAAAAGTACTCATTATTGGTCAGAACGGCTTACAGTTCCCTTCTGAACTCCTGATTTACTATCTACTGACATTCAATTCGAAGGAATACAGAGTGGTTCATAGTTCTGAGTTATGTACTTTTGACACAAACAATTCCGAAAGTTGAAAATCTCTGTA